GTTATGGTCACTGATTAGCCCCTACAACATCTTGATAAAGAAAGAAAATAAACACTTCAAGCCTAACTGGCATCTCATTAACTCCTAATTAACTTCTAACAAGAGTTATCTGTCCTAATATAACTCCTGTTTCAGGTCAAAGGTCATGCTGTTTAAGGTGAAAGGGCAGGAGTATGTGATGAGGTCATCTGAGATGATTGACAGATTCTACTGAAAACATGATGCTAATTGATTGACCAATTCAACATGTGAATTTTAGACTATTACAATAATGCATGTTTCATCATTTTAAAATAAACTGCATTAGAGACCAAAATTTCTTGGCAATGAGTGCATGTAAAATTGTCATCTCTTTTTACATCATATAGGCCTAAACTGGAAAGTAATAATTGCATGACTTATAAATCTGTAAGCATATTACTTAAATAGAAATAACTTGATAGATAGAATTACCAAAGCTACAAAGCACTAGTTTCTTCAAAACAGTTTTCATTTTTAATATTCTCAGTTTTAAATAGCTAATTTTGAACATGTTGAAACAATATTTATAAGCAAACCATCAGGATATGAATGATGGCAGGTATTAATTGGTCAGAACTGATATTTAAAACACAAATATTATTTTAAAAAAGGTGATAATAGATTTGATTTGAAATGATATTAAAAAGAAAACTTGAAGATACATCATTTAATACGAAATAATATTTAAGTTTAATAAAGAGTCGATAATTCTGATAATTTACTTTATTTTAATTTTTACACATAGTATCAAAAATTATGTAAATATAAGCTTGAAAAATGTGATAATTCTTGAAGAAAACTTGAAGAAAAGTTGATAATTGAAGTATGTAGCAGAGATTAATTTATTTGAAATGTAAAGATAGAAGAAGAGATGATACAATATCTATCTGTAACCATGTTGATGTTAAATAAACTCTAGATAAGAGAAGGTAAGGTGTTGATGTACCACACTCTTTTCTGATTCACCCAATACAGATATTAATTTGACATAGCATGAATTAAGTCTAGTTTGAATTTTGTGGTCTAAAAATGTCTGTGTAAAGACTCTTAAATAGAGGATCTTAACGAGTGCTTTTATGAAATTTATAAATTGAGTTGCCCTCCCTCGACCCCCTGTAGCTACAGGCCTGGCTACGGAGTTCATAATGTTTTTATGAACCTGTGTTATGAACCCAGGAGCAGAACTGTTGTGTGATAAAGAGGTGTCTTAACTTTTTATGTGTGGGGATACTGATTGCATCAATTTGCACCATTCCAATTTTCAGTACCCTGTACCCAGACGTCCACTAAAACTAACAATTTCTAGATGCCACTTTTGCAAAATTTGCTAATATTATCTCAGGGTCATTGAATAGATATTTCTCATCAGTATAAGAAATGATCAAACTGTAGTAGTCACTTTAAAGGGACAAGTTCTCCATTCGTTTAACCGATTGAACCTTAGTCTCTGTCATATATAAAAAAAGATAGAAAGTGAAATTTCTAGTTTGAGATATTTTTGAAGGAATCTACGTACTTCTGAAGACTATTTACATATATTCAAGACTCAAAACAACGCCAAAAAATGGCAAACCTGTGCCTTTAACATGTTGTGCCTACAATCAGTAAAATTAGTTAGTTATCAAGTGAATATCATAAAGACGATAATAACATGTATTTATCAGGCGGTTATCACCAGCAGACGATTAACAAGGGAGATAATCGATGTAATTTGATGGTAAATTAATGATATTAAATTAGGCAGTAAAACAGGTGCTCTGTTATAATTTCTTTATATTGGTGTATTAAAGGTATATTGTTGTCTAAATAATTTATTTTCAAGAAGGCAATTCTAGCTCAAGTTAGATGTATCTTGTAGATTCTAATTTCAGATCTCCAGTCAGGATTTCAAAATGAAAATCCACGAATCCTTCTGTTCCTTCAGAAAAGTAATACTACAGTCTAAATATCCAGGGTTTTGTGACGTTCTCACATGCATTTGTCTTATTCTGTTGAGACATTTTGATTCAATCTTATATTACAGACAAACCATACTTCTGAAATCAATTCTACAAAGTACTTCTGACAACTATAACTGAGCTCTATCAGTTGTGAGAAGAAATATTTAGAGACCTAGATCACTTTAACATGTATCTACACCAGTAAACACTGACTACATGCTGTGATACCAGGTTCTTCAGGTGCATAAACATGACTCATTCTTTAAAATCATCTACAGCAATCATGGGATAAAAATTTTATTAATAGTTTTTTCAAGAAAAAATAATTTTATCATGATGAAAAAAAATCATTATTTAAAGAGTGGAAATTGACAAAACAATACACAAGAGTCTGAGAGAGGGGATGGAAGGTGGGGGTGAGGGGGGTCTACAGCTGAGCAGTCGGAAGTAAATCAAGTATTAATGAAGGGTGGGTGGCTGATCTGCAAGGGTGATAGTAAATATGTCAATATTTTGGTCAAAAGAGTAACAAATAAAATGAAATCCAAACAACATATTGGCAAAATATTAGTAGCAGCTAATGAACTTTTCACTTGAAGAAGTATATCAATCAAGTGAGTAAGTATTTTATAATGAAAAGTGGTGTCAGGTGTCTAGAAGAATCCTTAAAAGGTACAAATGGTTTTTTTTACATCAAAATATAATCATATCATTCTCATCTATTTTATAAACATTTTATTTGCACATAAAAAACATTCCAATAAAAGATCAATGGAACAGAGAAAGATTATCATCAAGTGAAAACACATAAAGTGACAATCTTAAATTCCATGAATTTAATTGGCAGGCACCATGAGGGGGATCTAGTTAATGCGAAAATTTATGTCTGTCACTAATGATATAAACAGGGCTGCACCCCACAAGATTGTAAGCTGTTCCACCCTTTTAATACTTGAATAGAGGGTTGCTCATTGGCTACTTAAGTTAAAGAAGATTATTTGTAGGGTTTGCAATAGTGACGTACAAGTGCCATGGACGTCTGACTGAACGATGAAAATCGATGGATGCTATCAGTGTTCTGGATATAAATAAACAGTTTGAATTCCTCTTTACAATCCCTTTTAAAACAAGGTTTGTTCTGCAGTGGCCCTTTTCATATATCAATAGAGGGTAACTCATTTGCTAATTTAAAGGAATTGTAAAGAGGTTTTTTTCAAATTCAATTTTCAACAGATTTAATGACAGAAATACTTAACAATGGTGCAAAAGCTCTTAAAAATGAGCCCATTTTGAGATAGTGATGTTAGAAAGTGCTTAGTTTTACTGAAATTGCAAGGACCAGAGATGTCTGATTGAAAATTGGAATGGTATAAGAGGTATAAGATCCAGGTAGCCTTGTACTCCTGCAATCAAAACCTGGTTTAGATATACTGTGCTATTAAACGCTCAATAAGAAATGTCCATTTTGCTAATTACCATATGACTAACTATAGTAACATAGTGTACAAGATGTTATGACTATTAAAACTCAATATGATAACTATATAACCTATATATTAATAACTATAAATTATATATTTTATGTATATCAATATAGTTTTATAGTCTATAAAACAACATGGGAGGTAAGCTATCAAATCATATCATGTGGTAAAGGTATTACAACTGCTGAGAGCAACCGAGTACCACACACGTCTTTTTTAGATGACAGTCTATTAAAGCCACCTGAATATAAAGAGGGTTCCTGGTAAACAAAAAACCTGCAACAAATTTTATAATTTTACTCTGGTAACCATCCATTTTTATCAAACGTAATTGTCACTTAGATTTTTTTTTTGATTTTTTGCAGTGCGTCGAACGCATTGCATTCATGACGTGGCGAGAATACAATTTTGAACAGCTAAGCATAGAAAAAAGTCAAAATACATAGTACTATGTAATGATTGAAGTCATGATGAAATTGGTCTTAAGGGTAACCTGTAAAGTTTGGAAAAATAATCATAAGCTTATTTCCAATGCGTACTGAATTTTTATGGCACAACGAACTTGCTTCAGCTCATAAGAGCTCATTAACTGAATAACTATAGAGTTTTCTGACTACTTTTCTGCTCATTACATTGTGCAGAAAATTCAAAAGTTTTATGTAGAGCTCTTCAACTAATTGGTAACTGATATACTGATTTTAATTAAGATGTTAAAATACTCTGAATTATTTAAAATGACCACTGGAATTTTAAAATGTTGACCAAACTACTCCATTAAAATAGCACTTAGATAAATAGTTCAAGCTAGCCAGCTGATCAAAGGTAAACACTGACAAGCATGCAGTAAAGTTGTGATTTATGAGCAAGCTCTATTCTTGATATATTAATTTGTAAATAGTTCAAATTGTTGTGCACCATGTAGAGGATAATAATTTTCATGATAAAATAACAAAGTAGGCAATAAATATCATATCTACAGTTTATTTATCTGGGATATTAATTCAAAATGTTTAAAATCAGACAAAAACTAGGCTATAAAAATATTTTAGATTCAAATTAATATTTATTTACCTCTTTTGAACTTAGTCAAATAAAAAAATACTTGTTTGTCTATACATGGCATATTATTTCCTATAAAGTTGATATATATCAGTATTTTAACATAATAACATTGTTAGTCTGTGTATCCATTTATGATTAAATGTGGATCTTGTTATCATGATTAGGATATTAACTCTTATAAAAATAGATCCTCAGCTTTTTTACTTGTATGTGTTATTTTGTGAACTTCCATGTCAGTGTACAAATATTTAATGAAATATTCAGATCTTTCAGAGGTAAAATTCAAAAATCATATTATTTGCTGTTTTGGGCTGTTTTGAGTGTTATTTTGTGACTTTCAAACTGCAAAAGGGCCTATAAGTAATGAGTAAAAAATTTGATGGAATGCATATCTATCAGATGTAGGCCCAATTGCAGGGGCCTAATTCTTTGAGGTGTTTCATGTGTTTTGTTGTGACAGTATGGGCCTACCGTTACAATATAAAGTTCCTACCTTATTGATGATTCTATGAGCAAACAGCCAGGGAAGACTCTCTCGTTGTTTATGGAAATTCAACGTGACAAGGGCATCAACTCCTAATGAGGCATAATTATTCATCATAATAGTCTGTAAAACAAAAGTATGCAAAATTCTGGCATAAGTTCATTGAAAATTTAGTCTCTATTGATAGTAATGCTCAGTTATCAGTCTTGGGCTTTCAGAGAGTCCACATAGCCATATATAATTTTTTTCAAAAATAACAGTTTACCTTTCAAAGGGTCCACATAGATAATCATATTTTTAAATAATGAACATTAAAAAAAAACCTTACCCTCTTTCTCAATGGAATGCCCAGTCTCTTTTCATGGCTGATTTCAATTTTCCACCTGAAATACATTGATAGAGATATTGTATAAAGGGAGGTAACTCTATTTTTGAAGAAAACAGACAACAAATAAATCTTTATATTACTTGAGCAGTTCAAACATTGATGGTATCAAAAAGGACAGAAAGAGACCAAAACCTGGAAGGGAAATCAACAATTTTTCCTGCCCCTACCCCTGCCCCTCCTTGGTCAACAGAAGTTTTTCATGATGAAACAATATTGTGTAAAATGTTCAACTGTTAATCAATGCTCTTTTGAAGACAAGAATGTCCTGGCATCTGACAAATTTCCTGTGTTGAATCAAAATCACAGTACAAAATTATCTATAAAGATAGAAATTTTTCTTCTCTTACCTGTCTAATTTCACTGGTTTTACAAATTTTAACTGTTCTAGTATTTCAGGTACCTCTATATCACCAGTATATCCTTCACCCCAGCCCAGGACTCGTGATAAATCATTACCAGTACCCAGAGGTACCATTCCTACTTGTGGTGGGGTCTGTAAAACATAAAATCATAAAATTATTCCCCTTATCTAAGACATCAGTAATTGCGGAACTCAGTCCTGTGAAGTCGTTGAGAAAGTTAGAAATCAAAATGAGTAAGTTAATACTGCAAGTACAGTTTTCCTCACTGCACACTGTCAAGGTATAAGCTCAATCTTTATGCTTGAACTAAGATTTTCTTAAGAGATAAAGATCCTATTTCAAAGTTTTTTGGTCTTAGAGTCACTCATTAATCACTGGCTTTCTCTGATGTCTTTACTTATAAAAATAAGCATTTGAAAATATAGCTACATCATACACATGATACATGGCAATGGCGTTTCTTTCGCCTTTTAATCTATTTTGAGAAACAGGGGCCAGTACTGTCTAGGCTATACCTACCCTTAAATTGAGATTTTCTATGGCTCTAAGAACCCAGCCTATAGTACCATCTCCACCACAGACCAGCACCGTAAAGACAATGTCTGGTAATAGATCACAAAGTTCCAGGCCATCTTCTGGTTTTGATTCTGATATATCAATCACCTGGAAGTAATAGATAATTTTTGTCTATTTTGAAATGAAAGAAATAGATTTATAGGTTCTATCATGCTGCTTATTTCAGACTAACATGAGTGAGGCTGGAGAGGGGTGGATGTTCAATGTGTTTTTGGGCAAAGTCTCAAATATTGCAGGGGATACACTGTTTCTAATTAAAGGGACAGATTTCAAAATCTGTTTGACCAATAATACCTTAGTCTCAAAAAACAGGAATTATAAGACTCAAATCAACCTCAAAAAATGGCAAACCTGTTCCTTTAAACAATATTCATGTCTAAAAACTGATATTAAAAACGAATGCCCTAAAGACACATTTTTTATGGTCCCATTAAAAACCATATCATTTGATAAATAAGTTTTTCTATAAACAAGCTTACTTATTAATTTTTTTTCTGTCATTTTTTACGCTTAATAAAGATTAAAAAGAAAGATTCAAAAAGTAAAAGCAGGAATGGATCTGATTGTATCAAAACCAAAAAAACAGCAAATAGCTTATGTATGTAGTGGCTAGCTAGCTAGTTGCTGAAGCCATAAGTTCATTGATTTTCTAGGTTGTCAAAGGATAATTACTGTCGTATTTTTATATCACACCCTACTACTGATTACAATGATTGATTGACTTAATCCATATTAATTGACAAGGAATTGATTTGTTCATTTTTCTCTACTTATAAGCTGATTTCTCATACAGGACAAACACTATAATGATTGTTTTATAAGATACTCCATAAGTTTTTGAAGAAAGAGTTCTTTGAAAAGTCGTGGCAATAAAATAATACCAAAGACGGAATTTATACTCACGGAGGGCTGAGTATTGTAGAATATAGTGGAAATTCTGATAATTACCATACATCACTGGATATATTTCAATATATTTTTATAAGATTATCACTTCAACGATATGTATTCCTACACGCTGGTACTTTATCAATTTTTTGCAGACTGTTGCTTTCCAATGTAGCAGCCTAATCATGTATTTGATGATGATGACAATATATCATAAATAAATGTTTTTATCTTACCTGAATAGGATTTAAATATCCTCGAAACGTACGTAACAAAACTTCAGCATCTTTACTTCCACTTTTCTTATTGGCTATAATAATCAACGGGGACCAATTCAGAATATTCGGTTTCCGCACCGTCTTTACCACAAGTTTCCTCCTCATTCCAATCCATTTGAGTTCGACACAGTTTGGAGGAATTATTAGTTGTCTGTAGCGACCTAAATCACAGTCATCGTTGAACGGGATGCAATCGTCATGTAGCGTTCGTAAACACCAACAACATTTGAAATCACTTAATTGTGGCAAATTACCACAGTCTGTGTGGCAAACCATACACTTGCTGTTTAAAGGGAGATTACCAGGTACCCAATGATGAGAAAATTTCTCTTTTCTGTTATCTGTGCATAATTTTTTACACGGAATCAACACATTGGCTTTTTTCATATTATGATCAGCGACGCAAATTCCGCAAGAATCACATTCAGCACCATGTACTATGTGATATTTCTCAATATTACAATACGTGGGTTTTGGGAATATCTCCACCATTACCCATCGATGTCCTTTCCGTATATCGCGTGCAGGTACATCGTAATGTTTTAGTCGATATTGACGATATAATCTAGTTATATACACAAATATACATAATAATGTTACCATGACTACGGCTGAAAATGTGAATGGCTCCATGGACTCCATCTGAAAAATAATATCACATTTTCAATTTAAAAATATCAAAATAATCATTAAATGTGTGGACTCATTGATTGATAATGATATAGATTTGCCAAATTTCCCTACATTGACACTCATTTACTCCATCATTGATAAGTCCTAGTGAAAAGTAATCTACAACTCCACACATCACCCTTCACTTGGACTCAGCTTATTGAGCAATTTATTGACTGTCTCCTCAACAGTCAGTGTCTGTGATTTGCCCCTCGCGGCCCTGGTCTGGGGATAACACACTCAATAGTCTGAATAGAAAAAATCATTCTCACCCTATTGGAAGAAAATCCATCAATTGACAATTTCCAGTGAATCGTCAGTCTTGGCTATAGTAAGTCGCTAAGTCATATTTAGACACCACCCTCTATTCAACTCGTCAATTTTTATTTTAAAATTCATAATTTATTATGAGATCTTTTCTCCAATAATCATGTTGTTTTCTAAGATGGTTGAAGTTAGCTAGCTAATCAGAATTCTATATTCGAACAAGGATCCAATGTCAACTTCGGGCATGATATTTGTCGGTAGAATAATTCATGAATGAAGGTCATGCTAATACATCAAATAAGAACGATTGGTGCAATTACAGAAAAAAATGGAATAACTTGTTTTGATTGTTGCGATTGAAATGAAAATGTGTATATTTGAATAACGATTGATGAATTTGTAAATTAACTTTATTCATGAGACTAAATTTGATTTTTAAAACAAAAGATTTAATCAAGGGACTTAATCTTTATTTTCAGACTACATCAAAGTTAATATTTTATGCCTCGCCCCCTTCCCACATCATCACGCATAATCTCGCGGTAGAATAAAGTCACAAGATGGCTGACCAAGAAGAGACTTTGGAAAATTATCTTAGTAAGTGGCAACTATGGGGAAAATATGTCACAAAATTGATTACGAAATGGAAAATCATTGTCTAAATCAATATTTGTTTGATTTTATTTTTCACTAAAATATTCCTGCACTGTCAAACACTGAAATCAGAATTTACTTCCGTCGAGAGACAGATCATAAAAAATTGTAGCTGATTGAAAATGAATATGAATTGTTGGGGGAAGGGGGCAAAATCCCCCAAAACATTTTCATGGGAAATCATGTGTCTTGGATAAGACTGGAAATATTCTTGAATGCTGGGCGAATTTAACTAATTAGTGAATGATATTGATACTGACTGATGCTTGAGTGCAGAGACCCAACTTGTCCAACCTGTCCAACACATCAGAATCTGTTAATTGACTGATATAGACTGATATAAGGAAATAGTCTAGCAGTGGTATTTCTACGGGGGGCCATGGCTCTCCAAGAAATAATGCTGGGCTGGCTTTGGCCCCCCTTCTTTGGTATTTCTTATCGTTTTACATAGTGAAAGAATGATGTGTGGCCCCCCTAAAAAAATTTGTGGCCCCTGATCGGCCCTCTCTCTTGATGATTCCTAGAAACGCCCCTGTAGTCTGGCCAGGTTTCTTTGTCTTTGAGTGATGTTGATGATAATGTTTGTTTTACGTTATAGATAGGGCAACAAACCCAGCAAACAGAGAATTAGATCCTGAACATGTCGCAGCTTTCTGTGATCTGGTCAATAAACATTTAGAGGGACCTCAGATATCAGTCCGACTTCTAGCTCATAAAATACAGTCACCTCAAGAGAAGGAGGCAGAATATGCTTTAATTGTAAGTAGTTCATAGATAGTTTTCACAGATTGAAATAATTGGATTGTAAACAACTTTTGTAACTTTTTTATGTGCATCATCAATTTGCACCATTCGAATTTTTCATTGAGACATCTGTGGTTCCTGCTATTCCATTAAACTAAGTGTTTGATGACATCATTAATTTCAAAATATGCTATATCACATAAGGCCTTCCCTGATACACATAAAAATTTCAGAAAACCTCTTAACAATCCCTTTAAGGATAGCGAGCCCACATCGGCTCCAGAGGTGTGAGGAACAGAAAACCGTCTTTATAAGTCATTATATATAGAAAAAATCAATCAATATATTCTGTACTGTACTAATAGGGTGAATATAATTGTTTTATACTCAGTAAGCTAATTATTGAAGCTTAGTGTAAGCTAATTATACTTACTTTACTAATAGGCTATCTCTCTTATTCAGTTAGCTGAACAGTATTCATGGCTCTCAGGTGATTTTATTGACTTGGACTACTGAATGAATGACTCTGTTGTAAACTCACAAAACCTTGTGTATTTTAACCAACTGCTCCGGCAGCAGACATATATGTTTTGGGTACACAATCCTCATCAAGACAGCAAGATTTGAATGTAGGGGTTAACTTTCCAATATTGGACATAAAGATGTGACAGACAGTTTTATAGAAGTGGATTCAAGAACTCTTATTGCAGCGTTAAACTTATCTTATATAGACAACTGGCAGATGAAGATTGTTTTTGATAATTATTGAACAGAACAACGTGTATCTTCACCATGTCAAGCTATAAGTAACCTTGTACTTATACCTTGACTGCAATAATCTTGTTTCATGGAAGTTTGTAAATGAAGCGATTTGATTGGATTGTACTCTAATCTTGACAAAAAGTCTGAACATAAAGCAATGATATTTAGAGCTTTTCTGTCAAGGGCTCTGATTGGCTGTTATTGCTGGTGTACGATCCAATCAAAATGCTGCATTCAGTGATCAGTTATTTGCTTATTTCAATTTCAGACTCTAGAAGAATGTGTGAAAAATTGTGGCCAATATTTTCATCAAGAAATAGGAAAATTTAGATTTTTAAATGAAATAATTAAAGTCATTTCACCGAAGGTAAATATGTTTTTAAAAAAAGGTTTTTTATTCTACAGCTAAAGAATCTTAAAGGGTTCTGTCGTCTATTTGTTTTACAGGCTGATAATTCTCATTTTCAGTCGTCTATATCACTCTTCAGGGCAACCAGATACTAGATTTAACTTGTATACAGTGGAACCAGGTGTAACCGAGTGTGATAACCCTGAACCCCGATCAGGAAATGAATATGCATTAGTAAAATTACCTGTTAATTCAATGATTGAACCTTTTTTGTTTCGGTAGGGCTGAACTGGATTTCCACAGAATAGTTTATACTGATGTTATGTCTATATCCAGTATTTGGAAAGAATATTGCATACTAATATGAAGTCTTTTGTATCCAGTATTTAGGAAATCGAACCAGTGAGAAGATAAAGAAGAAATGTATAGAGATATTATATAGCTGGAAGATTGGACTACCACATGAGACTAAAATAGCTGAAGCCTACAGTATGTTGAAAGCTCAAGGAATAGTGAAAGTCGATCCAACACTTGTTGATAAGGTAAGGGTCTGGGCAAATTTACTGGCGTGCTTTGTAATCTTATTCCCCAAAAATGTGCCAGGATTTGTTTGAAATTTTTCTCATTATTTTACCAATCCCACAATCAGTCAATTTCAATGACAAGTTAATGCTGTGTCCAGCCATTTTTGGTAGTGGTTGGGCTTCAGCCCATATAGCCTATAGATCTAAGGGGGTCTCAAATCTTCCATTGGCAAAAGTATCATTAGCTTTGTATCCTGGAAGTTCAATTCTATTTTTCAGCATGTGACGTTCCCTGCACCAACACAGAGAAGAGCTGATTTTGAAGATGAAGAAAAAGCTAAGGTAATCAGTCATAACTTTTGTTTGTCTTTAAATATAATTATTACTGTTGTATTCTCTCTCTTTTTAGGACACCTTTCCTCTCTGAGTTGTGTTGTGTTTTTCAGCTCATACCTTGTGTTTTTCAGCTTAATTTAAAGTCATTCCCCTGCTGTCTTCAGAATAAATTTGATGTGATGTATTACTTTATTAATGATATTTTGTAGGTTTTAAACAGATTATTAAAGAGTAAGAATCCAGAAGATTTACAGGCTGCTAACAGATTGATTAAAAATATGGTCAAAGATGTGAGTAGCTTTTATCAAACAAGAGCAAGAATAAGCATAATCTTACTTTCCGTTTGTGAGATAAGATTTGTGTTATTTTTTTTCTTCAATATTAAACATTTGATGCTCATTTTGGAAATTTGTACAAATATTTTTTAATAGAACTAGCAAATGGTAGGTAAATAGTAAGGTGCCAATATACCCCATTGTATCATAAATTGAGAAACTTCATTCGTCTAGATTCTGAATAAAGGCCCTGATTTCACTACATTAGCCAGTGATGTCTGTTCTGAGTTTTGATATCTGTGATATCAGTTTTTTTTATAAAAGAAATGTTGAATATATTATAGGATGTTGTAAGATCAGAGAAGAAATATAAAAGAATCAATGAATTGGAAACTATCAACAATAACGTACAGTTGTTACAAGAAATGATAGCAAGTTATAACTCAGCCTCTAGTACTGCTTCTGATAAAGATATGATGAAGGTAAGGAGAGAAGAGAAGGTGGGGTTGTTCTAGGGGATATCACTTGGGGTAGGGCTAGTTTTAACTCAGTATCTAGTACTCCTTCTGATAAAGATATGATGAAGGTAAGGAAAGAGAAGAGAAGGTGGGGTTGTCCTAGGGGATATCACTTGGGGTAGGGCTGGTTTTAACTCAGTATCTAGTACTCCTTCTGATAAAGATATGATGAAGGTAAGGAGAGAAGAGAAGAGAAGGTGGGGTTGTCCTAGGGGATATCACTTAGGGTAGGGCTAGTTTTGATAAAGATATGATGAAGGTAAGGAGAGAAGAGGTGGGGGAGGGGAGTGGAGTGTGGGGTTGGGGTTGTTTTACTCAGCCTCTAATAAAGGGCAGGATTTGGGAAAAAGGGAGGACTTGTTATCGGACACAGTTTATGAATTATTCAAAAGAGCATTATGAGCTTTGTAGATTTCCTATCAAGATTTTGGAGTTGACAAACCCAGATGCAAAATGTCATCATGTGTCAAAACCTATCAGGCAAAATTTTTAAGAGATATCCCAAGTTGAGATGAACTACTGTGGTCAGTTAAATAACTAATCCTTTTCATAACTGATCCTCTTCAATACTGATCCTGTTCATAACTGATCCTGATAATACTGATCCTGTTCATAACTGATCCTGTTCATAACTGATCGTGTTCATAACTGATCCTGTTCGGAACTGATCCTCTTCATAACTGATCCTCTTCATAACCCTAATAAAAGATTATTCTATAACCTTCTCATTCTTCTATTTTCTGATATTATCTTATTTTCACCAGGAAATCTATGAAAGTTTAGAGAAGTTGCGTCCTAATTTATTCCGACTAGCCAGTGATACTGATGAAAAAGATAATGACGGAATAAGTAAGTATCTGTAAATTAGGCCTTATTATTATTCATAAACATACCTGCTGACTGGAATAAACATTCATAAACATACCTGTTGAGTGGAATAAACATTCATAAACATACCTGTTGACTGGAATAAACATTCATAAACATACCTGTTGACTGGAATAAACATTCATAAACATACCTGTTGACTGGAATAAACATACCTGTTGACTGGAATAAACATTCATAAACATACCTGTTGAGTGGAATAAACATTCATAAACATACCTGTTGACTGGAATAAACATACCTGTTGACTGGAATAAACATACCTGTTGACTGGAATAAACATTCATAAATATACCTGTTGAGTGGAATAAACATTCATAAACATACCTGTTGACTGGAATAAACATTCATAAACATACCTGTTGACTGGAATAAACATTCATAAACATACCTGTTGACTGGAATAAACATTCATAAACATACCTGTTGACTGGAATAAACATTCATAAACATACCTGTTGACTGGAATAAACATTCATAAACATACCTGTTGACTGGAATAAACATACCTGTTGACTGGAATAAACATTCATAAACATACCTGTTGACTGGAATAAACATACCTGTTGACTGGAATAAACATTCATAAACATACCTGTTGACTGGAATAAACATTCATAAACATACCTGTTGACTGGAATAAACATTCATAAACATACCTGTTGACTGGAATAAACATTCATAAACATACCTGTAGAGTGGAATAAACATTCATAAATATACCTTTTGACTGGAATAAACATTCATAAACACACCTGTTGACTGGAATAAACATTCAATAACATACCTGTTGACTGGAATAAACATTCATAAACATACCTGTTGACTGGAATAAACATTCATAAACATACCTGTTGACTGGAATAAACATTCATAAACATACCTGTTGACTGGAATAAACAGTGTATGGTTCAAGATCACAAGTCTTTCACATGCAGACTGAAATTAGAAGCCTTGACCTCCTCTTGTTTGAATGACGGCATGTAAATATTCCAATGCTCTTACTGAGTGTGCTACAGCCTCTAATAGGATATTCATGTTATCTATTTTCTAGATGATATACTACAAGCTAATGATAATGTAATGAAAGTTATGTCATTGTATAAAACTCAAATAGAAGGTGTTAAAGATGATAGGGGTAATTATGACTATATTGTTTTGTTAATTTAAAGACTGTTATATTTTGGCAATGGAAGTTATGCTTTTTTCAGTTAAGATATATTTCTATATAGAGGAATTTCTTTAGGAAACAATAGTTTTATGGATATAGAATTCTGTTTTTATATTTAAACACAACATTCCATTACACATACAGGTAACGTTATCAAGTGAAGTTTATATCCATAAAACTGGTGTTTCTTAATGTGCTATGATACTTCTTAATGTCTTACAAAGATTACAGAAATTTCTTGTTTCTCCTTTGTCTAATGGTTTGTTAGCTCAAGATAATGTGAAATGCTCCTGTTATGTCTCCATTACATCAAGTATAAACAGCATATACCCTAAACTAAGTAATATAAATTAAAGCATATGACCTTTATGTTATGTGACGTTATTTGGTAACAACCGCTTAACTGTCTCCTAGGGTATATATTGTGTAATTTTGTGGCCAGTAAACCTGCCGCTTGTGTTAATAGGGTTAACTATACTGATATTTTGCTGAAATTAACCATAAGAGCTGTGCTTCATTGCTGAAATATTAGAATAGAGGAAATGATTAGTTTAAATTAAAAAGCATCATAGGCAGATTTCTGTCTTGAAACTGAGTGAAATCATTTTTATACGCCCACATCTCTCTATGTGGATTGTTGGCACCCCTGTCCATCGGTCCGTCCATCCATCGGTCCGTCCGTCAACATTTGCTTGTAAACGCTCTAAAGACTAGATTTTTTGATGGAATCAAATGAAATTCGGTATGTGTATTCATATAACGAAGATCAAGTTTGAATTTGAGCTATTTTCGACCGTTAGTAGCAGAGTTATTGCCCTTGCCCCAAAATCTTGAATATTTACCATCTGCATGCCGTGGTGGGCGTATATGGCTGTGGTCCACTATCTTTATTAAGACATGAATTTCATTTATTTTCAACGACAGCTTTTTTTGATCATTTGAGGGGAAGGCTAAAATTGAGAGGTGTCTTTCCGAGACAAGGGACAAAACCCTTCAGTAAGGCTTGGGGGAAGTGAGGGCTGGTAGAGTCCAGCAGATTTCAACAGATAGCCTGAGATGAATTTTGAGCATTTCAAGGGCTTAAATTTCACCTCAAATTAAGACCTTTCACATTCCTGAGCCCTGGTTCTGCTTCAATGAATTTACTAATCATTATAATGACCATGTTTTTCTCGTCCATCAACAGATGTCTCCTCGCTGTTAGATTTATCATCATCCACGCCTACTCATCCTCAACCTACAAACTCCTCTAATTCTTCAACTAATCTATTAGACGAACAATTTCAAGCTTTCGGTAGTTACTTTTCATTTTTATTATTTCAATATTTAATTTGCATTATGATGATTTTGTTTTATGGCATAAGGGAACATCCTTTCTATCTATATCAAAAACTCAGAATTCTGTTTATTCTAACAAGCAAGTGTCCAGGCATTCCTTATGACCCCATGAAATCCATGTCTTTTCCACAAAAGTCAAATCTCCCAGGAGCACAGTTGCTTTGCCATAACATGATTTGCTTTCCCATAAACACAAGCTATCTCGGTAAAGTTCTTGCCCATGAACTTGACTGCATTGCCATGAACACATGTACTTTCCCATGCACAGTGATAAACTCAAGGGCTCTCAGAATGATGTTTAGTGCTTTCCTGTGAACAAGTGCTTTCTAATTAACATAATTAGCCATTTTTTTAGAGCCACATCTCAGCTGAAAAAGCTGTTTCACAAAAGTGTTCTCTTTTATGATAATTGCCTTCCCAACTCAAGCTTATGCCATAATGCTTTCCTTGCAATACCATGCGATATTGTCCATATTTTTGACTATTATCTTTATAAATCCAAAGCTAATATAAAATTGTTAAATTTGTAGGTTTAGCTACGGATTCTACGCCTGCTAGTACATCAGTGGCGACCCCACTATCTAACACAAATAGTTCAGCTTTGAATGAATTAGGAGATATATTTAACAGCATGAGTTCTCAGCAAACCTCTGTAAGTTGTCTATTTTCAAATCAAATATATGCATTTGTCCTTTTCCCTTGATGGAAAGAGAAAGAAAGAACAAATCATCTTTACATAGGATACTATCAGATAATCAAAACCTAATGGCATTGATCTTTCAAGGCTTATGCTGCTGTCCTTGCAAAATTTTCCTCGTTGCACACTGCATGGTGGTTGCCTGTCTTGCCCAGATTGGAGCACAAAAGTAGGATGTAGAACTCCCATTTCATTCCTACTAGTATTATTACAGGCTCAAATTTCCACATAATTCTACATTGTAGTATATTTACGGCAAATAGATAAAAAACTATAGTGTCACAGTGAAGAGCTTGTTTGTTAATCTTGAGGTTCTTTTTTTCATTCCTGAACTTCGTCAAAAATGCTGCCGCTGATGCCATCCCATTTTATCCTTGAACAGAATAACAGAATGTTCAGGTGTACTTACTTCATTGATTAATAAATGTTTTTCATTTTGTAGCAAACCATTCCTCAATCAGCTCCAGTCAACTCTAGTCAATCTTTATTTAATACCAACCCTACCCTAGCTATGGGCATGTTCTCTTCTCTGAATCAACAACAACAACAACCGTCAATGATGCCAGCACAACCAAATCAACTTCAGCAACTTCATCTATTACAACAGCAACATTTACAACAACAGAGGATGGCCTTCGGTGCCTCAGGACCTAATCGTAAGTTTTTCTGGTTTTTTCAGATAAAATTCTAAATTATACCATAATAAAATACTTAAAAAGTTGTATGATGTACTTGGTCAATCATGTTGATATGGTGTGTGGGTCAGCCAACTGGACATCTCTTTCAGAGAGTCCATACAGCTAATAATGTGAAATTAGCTTCCTTTCAAAGGAATGGCTAATATCAGTTGTTTTGTGTTTGGGTTTGTCAACATTGCATCCCTTTCAGAAAGTCCATGTAGCTAAAATTGTTTAATTGGTTTGAGGTATTGTGAACTTAGGACCCCTTTCGGAGAGTCATAACTAAAATCATTTATTTGGCATTTGGTTTGTCACCTCAGCCAACCCAGTTGGGTTAGTCAACTAGACATCCTTTTCAAAGATTAAGCTAATATTGTTTATTTGGTATTTTATTCTAGCAGCAATGGCCAGCCCACAATTAACACCACCAATATCAGCTGGTGGTACATCACCTGCTCTACAACCCCAGAAACCTATTGGGACTCCTGCAACCGCGAAACTAGGTACCACTACACAGCCATCTAAACCTTTATCAGACCTGGATGTATTGGGCCAATCTTTACTACAACAGAATTTAGGAGGCAAAGAACAACATAAACCTGTACAAAAAAGGTAAATCTGCATTTTTACTTACTTTATTCTTTCAGTTGACCAAGGTAAGGTGAACGTAATGCCAAGGTTTTGGACAAAGATTTGGTGGTCCTCGGAGCCAGTGCTGTTGCCCTTGTATTAAAAATAATGATTTGTCATCTTTCCTCATCATTTAAGCATCCTAGCTGTTGAAAATGGTTCTAGGAAAATTGAGATAAGAACAATGCAACAAGAGGGTTGGCTAAGGACCAGCTGGTAGAAGAAATCCTCAAGCCTGAGATGTTATTCTTTTAAAATATGGATATGATATGATATACATACTCTCTAAATGTAAACATAACTCTTCAATGAGTGAAGAGAAGGGTTCTGTTTCACAAAAACATGACTAATCTGTCAAATGTGGAAAGAAAGGAGAGACTTTTATCCCAGAAATTCATGAAAACTGTTAAAGATGTTCTTATATTATATACTTATATATTGATATAATATTAACTCTTTCAGTGTACCATTATCTCTAAATGAACTGGCATCACTACCCAAGCCTTCACCCGTTCTAACAACTCATTCATCACCACAGACATCACTCTTAGATCTTTCTAACCCGGTTCCACTGCCAACAGTAGCATCACCGGCTCCTGTTACTACCAATGGTTTACTGAACTCACCATCCAAAACTACTGAAATATTACCCTTAACTGATATCACAGTACCCCTAGAATCTGTCAAACCAGGTAGGTTGTCTTCATCATATATAACTAAAAAGCATCTACTGTATTATTTGATTACAGTGTAGAAGAATGATACACACACCTTCTTACCCTACAAATACTCTCTACCACCATAAATAATGTGCACCTCTCTTGACAAAACAAATCAATAAGTTGGTATAATGAAGACATCATAATGTGTAGGTAGACATTTGTAAAGACCAAGTGTTCTGTTACATGTTGTTCACAAGATCTTTCGAAAAAAGAGTAGGTTAATGCAGCTGAACTGGCAAATGTCATCTTATTGCATACTGCATTGCATTGCTTGTCTTCATCAGCCCAATCAGTTACAGAAAAAAGGATGCAAAATATTGTGTATTATCCCATCCTCGTCGCAAATATGTTGTGTATTTGGATATTTACAACACAAAAGTAATAACCATGACTTGTTTATTGGTAAGTATAATTTAGACTCCCTGAAGAAGAGTTACATAAAGGGGAGTAAGTAGTGACACAATCAGAACACAATTAAACAGTCCTATCGTTTATAGTCTTATGACACAACACAAAACTCCTGCAAAATTTTCTTATATCATAGTTGATCAGATGTGTTCAAGAAATTCTTCATCCTCTTACCCTTACCATTGGCTGCTTTCCACAGTCTATGTAATTATTCATATTGATATTTATATGTTAGGAGATCACCAGCCAGTGAGTGTATTAGACAAGAATAATGTAAAGATATTACTTCATATTGGTAAAGACCGACCTCGGCCCGATGTTACGGTGATGGTGGTATCAACTATTAGTACCAGTCCACACCAAATTACTAACTTCGTTTTTCAAGCTGCTGTTCCAAAGGTGATTAAAATCTCTTTAAATTTAAGTTTCTGCCTAGCTACAGTTTAGAGTCTCTCTTGGAGTCACAGTGACTCAGCAAATTAGACGCATGTTCATGACACTTGAGGTTTTGGGTTTAAGTTAGCTATGTAAGAAAACAGGATGATTTGAAGCTCTGACTCTGACATAGGTTTAGAAATTACCTTTGTACTTTTCAACCAAATTTCCTCCTGTTTGCATAGTTGACAGTTCTCTAACCAATGATTGTGCAGAATGTTGGAAAGATCTCTTGACAGTTTTAAATTATACAATAACTGGAGTAGGTGAATTTTTTGCCTCTTGACAAAATCTTCGTCATAGCTTACACCATGTTAATTTTAGTCTTGATCAATGTAATAATTATTAAAATCTTCTGTATTTATACAGATAATGAAAGTTAAACTACAGCCACCCTCGGCCAATACGTTACCAGCATACAATCCCATACTTCCCCCTACTGCTATTACACAAGTTATGTTGTTAGCTAACCCCAGAAAGGTAAGCATAATTAACTTAAATATCTTGTCTAGAGGGTTTGAAAACGGTTTCTCTCATTTGTGGGACTGGTCGGAGAAAATAGCATAGAGACGAAGCAATTGTGGTTTACAATTTGGTTTCTCCTTTTTGATGAACGACGTCTTCAGTCTTGAATGTTGATGAATACTGATACCATCTTAGAGATCATTTCATAGCCGTGTAAATGAATGCTTTCAGTGTCCCAGATATACATAAAAAGTTTACAAAGCCTGTTAACAATTGCTTTAAGAAATACGAAGCGAGTCTGAGCATAAAACAAGATATATCATTATGATATGATTGAATGTTATTTATTTACCAGGAGAAAGTGAGATTAAAGTTTAAAGTGATGTATTCAATGAATGATGAGAATGTAACAGAAATGGGTGAAGTTGATTCTATACCAGTACAGTAGAGTAATATCTCACCAGTGGCATTTCTTAAAATTCTTAAGTAAGGAGGTCTGAGGGCTGGTCTTTCCTGGATTTGAAATTTGAAAATAGGGGGACCAAAGCCGAGCCAGCCTCCCCCAAAGAAAGGCCACTGTATCATACATAGTATATAGCATCTTTCTTCTCCTACTCATAGCAGTGCTGTTGATTTGTCTCATTTAGCCAGTCAAGTATGTTAACATGTATTAGCCAGTTATGTATGACTGGAGTTATGAAATCGTTATTTGTATGTATTGATTTAATAATATGAATGTTACAAAAGGTCCAGTTATGAAATGTGGAAATCAACAGCTCTGTCTCATATCATTAGAATTTAAATCGTTTCTATGTGCTCTGAACAGTTTTGAGAAATCACAAAGAGAACCCTTTGGTGTTTTGGTTCTAACTTTGATCTGAGGTGTAATTTTAGCAAACTGAACTAAGATAAAATATAAATTTTCAAAAAAACAGTAATCTGATTGGATAACAAAACTAAATTTAAAATCAATTTTAGTGATTGACCAATCAGATGACTGGAACAAGATGACAAAATCATGTTATATTAGTTCTTTCAGAATAAGACCCCAGGGATGTAAATTGAATATGATATTCAAAACTGTTCATTGTCACATGACCATTTTCTTTATGTTAATCACAATGATGAACAGAATCTTTATCAATTTATGCACTGTAGAGAAGCGCAGGTACAGAATGTATTTTAAGATTGGTATTCATTTTGGGGATTATGGTTTTGTGTTTTGACTGAAATATTGTATTGGTTTAAATTTTACAGAGTTGCCAATCTTTATAACAGCAAGCCTATTATCTGAGCAAAGTAAAAAAGTTTTTTGAATTTTATCCATTAGGCCTATTTTTATGAGAAATGGAATAGCAGCCTCAATATAGTACTGTTAGTCTTAGAATGTCTTTGCCTTGATAAAAATATAATATTTTGTTTATTTTTATCAAAGACATACTAAGACTAACAATACTATTTAGAGGCTTATATTTCAATTACCATGAAAGAATACAAAAAAAATCAAAAAACTATTTACTTTACTCAGACAATAAGGTCTCTATTTCAGAATTTTGTTTCATTGACTGGTTTCTGGAGGGTAGATTATGAAAGAGTAAGCATTTAAATTGGTGTTATTTGATATAATATATTTTTGTTGAGATCTTTCTATAAAAACTGCAGAAGTAAAGAATCAGTTTGTGGTAATAACAAATATCAATATAGGGTAGTTACATATTTCATAAAATAAGAAAGTTGAATAGGCAAAACTCTTTTCATAGCTATGTGTAGTACTGTAGTGTAATAAACATGTAGGTTTCACTGACGGAAATATGAAGAAGTATTGACAGTGCAATATGTAGTGACAAAATTATATGATGATAATGTCAATGAATAATGTCAATGATGATGTCAGTGAATAATGTCAATGATGATAATGTCAGTGAATAATGTCAATGTAATATTTTTAGATATTGATAACATCATACTAAAATGAATTGATAAAGTAATGAAATTATGATAATGTAACAAAATAATGCTAATGTAACAAAATATGATAATGTAATGATAATGTAATGAAATAATGATAATGTATGATATAATGCTGATGTAACAAAATATGATAATGTAATGAAATGAAATAATGATAATGTAATGAAATAATGAAATGAAATAATGATAATGTAATGAAATAATGAAATGAAATAATGATAATGTAACTAAATATGATAATGAAATGAAACAGTAATATGAAATAATGATAATGTAATAAAAATTATGCTAATGTAATGAAACAATGATATGAAATGATGCTGATGTAACAAAATAATGATAATGTAATAAAATAATGATAATGTAATGAAATTATGATAATGTAATGAAATAATGATAATGTAATGAATGCAGGGTATGTGATATATATAGGAAGATAGTATTTGTATAAAAGTGACTGTAAATACACCATGGATGCCTGAAATAGATTTTATATTTTCATTATTATAATACTCTCTATATAGATGTCTTGTGGTTTGATCATTATATTTACTGGTAAAATAACATCCCAACAAAATCATTAATATACTGAACTAATGTACTATGCTGTATTCGTTAACTCTCAGTTAAATGGAAAATTCAAGTTTCCCAGTAGGAAATAAGTATTTATTCGTGAAAAATATCTTAATTTGTGTTGATATACCACACAAACAATATTAGTTATGTGGACACAAGGAATAAAAAGACGACAAACCCATTCACAGAGTGTCATTAGGTGTTCGAAAAGCATGATCATTGCTAGGTCTAGGTTTAATTAGGAATTTAAAGTTCCTTACCAATTAAATGTGTTAAAACTGGATGTTTTGAATCAGAAAAAAATGCTAAAAAAACTTTACTCGACAATTATTTCAGAGATAATCATAGGATACCTTCTTGCAGCATATTCCCATAGGTAATTTTATCATTTGATGCATTTCAAGAAGTAACGAATACAGCATTACCTATATAAAATACCCCAGCACAAAATCACATAGATTTTCTTTTTATCATAGAGGTTGCAATGTTTCCTGGTTTCTGTACATAGTGCTTTTTTATAGTTAGACAATAATATTGTGAACAAACAATGATGTTCAAATCATATCAGTTTTGTTTTGAGTTAGAATAAATAGTTATTGAAACTAAAGAAACTATAAAAGCCAAGGTCTACTTGAACAATCTTAAAATAAATTGCATTGGTTATGACTATGTTTCGAAGCAGTTTGAAAGTGCACAGAAATTTTTGCTCGAAAATAGTTCGGGGTTTTCTACAAAATGTTCAATTATTGTGAACAATTTCTGTTAAATTGTTATTTCTAGCTTAGATCGCATCTTAATCAGACTTAAAAATTATACTGTAGTCTATTTTTGTTTGTCATTGACCAATCAGATTATTACAGCACAGTAATTGTCAATAGTTGGTTTTTGAGAAATTTTGGGATATATCATAAGTTTCAGATAATTGTAAAAAATAGTAGAACTGATATTATTACTAAGTTAGAGGTGTTATGTAATATTTTGTTTGTTAGTTTGTTTTATTTACTGATATTGTATAGTATTATAAACAAGTTGTATACTTATTGTCAATATTAATAATAAATTATCACCTGAATAACAAACAGGGGTCTTTATTAAACTGACAGGTGTGCCAATTGTTTCACCAATCATACCTTATTCTCAGAAACTGGAATTTTTTAGCTTAGCTAATATCAGTAATAGTAATTGAGCCTTCAAATTCATGTGTGTCCAGAGTTAACCTTTGGGTGTTATGCAGAGATAACACAATTAACTGAGTCCCAGTGGGATACAGACTGTGTATTTTCCGAGTGGTAGTCTAGGATATTCATATTCACAAAACACATAAAGAAGCATTATAAATTTTTATTATAAAACTGTCAGCCATCAGAAGTTAAATGTCTATGTGAAGCTCGTAATAATATAGGTATAGATGTATTGTCTTTATGCCACCTGTAAAAAAATAATTGAAATCAATTTAAGACGGGTCAATTTTGATATACTTTTAACTTAGAGATATCAGTCAATCGAGGTTATTATGAACATTATCTACTACTGGTTAGTGCTAATCATTTTCAGTTGACTGAGAAACTAAGAAACAGATCTTCTAGTTCCATTAGGATTATAAACAGAAGCCTGATGTTCTAAATGTTCAGCTCATTTAAGATATCGTGAGAGATGGGAATTGCAAAAGAGTTGGCATAGTTTCCCCAATTTAACACGAGAGAGATTTGTCTAGTGAGAAGCAGAATAGTAAGATATTAGACATTGATGTTAAACTGTTGCAACTCACCTTCCTGATTCAATTTCTTCTGGTGGATTTAATATCACGGACGCAAAGCTGAAAGTAGATAAATAAATCATAAACTTATAAAATCTTATAGCTTGTTTCATGTACTCACTTATCTGTAGCCATATCCTGCCCAGAAATGTTGATCCAGTCATTCACAGCTTTTAGATCTTTAGAAACCCTACCCTGCCCTTACTCATATCAAAATCAAAAACTCTTGAAATTTTCTTACTTTGGTAATTTCGGCGATAATAATATCATAACTAAATTTGCCAAAAGTTGGCAAATGAATCTCGAAATTTCAACTGTATTGATAAATCTCTCCAGAATTCGAACCAAATTATTCACAGCAGCTTCAGATCTTTACAGAAACCCTCCCCATCATGATATAAAAATAGAAAATGGCTTACTTTGGTAATTTGAGTATATTTATAAGTTCCTGGCATCTTGAAACCAGTATTTCACCACCGTTACTATTGGTTAAATGTTGTTTGGTGACCTTCGTTAAACACAATATAGCTCGGGGGATCAAATCTTGACATCGAGTGGCCAACTACATGATAAAAATGAAGCTCCATGTAGTGTGCAATGAGGAAAATTTGGCTAAACATGATTTTGTGCAATTCTTGCATATTGGGCCTAAGTAAAATGGTCTACCGTAATTCAGATGACTTGCTTCTCTAAACTGTATCATTCACCGTGGGGAGACAGGCATGAAGTAAGTACTATTTTGACCTGTCAAATCTGTAGGACACAAGGTCTTAGTCTCCCAATTTGAGTAATAAAATGATTGCTTAGCTTGCATAAGAATATGAAAGGTTAATCTAATACATCCAAAAAATAGTAAATCTTAATATCTAGTGTACCTAATTTGGGTTATTTACAATGAAACAATTCTATTAGACTTCTCTTACCTTAGATAAAGCAGATATCAGAACTGAAACAGTTTTCAATGTAATATACGATGTTTCATCATTGTTTATTATAATACCAGAAGTTTCATATGTAACAGCTTCTAATATATTGTAATACTTGGCTATCAAATCAGCTGTACATGTTTTACTATGTTGTACTGTACAATATTCACCAACACACCAAACCTACAACATAATATATTATATCAGCTGTACATGTTTTATTATTAAGGTACAGTCTAATAATTGCTACCTTTATTATACAGTTCTCGAAATAATTGTTTTACTACCTGGTAAAGTTCAATTTCACCTATAAGTATGTATAGAGTCATAGAGAGCAATTTCAGCTATCCATAGCACTTTTTAGAATTAAAGTCTCGCATTTAGTCCACGCTAATTATTCTGTGGCTATTGTCACTATTAGGTTTATATTTGACCAACTGGTCCAGAGTTTAAATTGAAAGTAAAGATTCAAAAAACTTACTAAATTGGTATAAAATTCCTCTCTATTATATATATTTCTGGTACTAATTAAGAAATCTGATATCTCATCATATTGACTTATGACTATTGATTTGTATTTCTTTAGTAGTTTTACTAAATTCTCTGATAGTATCCTGTAATATACAAAACACATTAAAATACCATTTCAAAACCCTATTAGAACATGTATATGGATAAAGAAACAACAATTTTATGGATATAATCATCACTTGAGAACGTTACCTGTATATGTAATGAAATGTTGTGTTTAAATAATAAACAGAAGTTTATATCCATAAAACTGTTATTTTTTAATGTTCTGTGATACTTCTAAATGTTTTCCAAGGATTATGTGTATGGATTGATCACTGTGGATTCCTTTTTTCTTGAAAGAAACATGAAGAAAGTATAATAATATATCTTCAACCAGTAGCACTGAGGATTGACCACTAGATGTAAGACCAAACGATAATGAAAAAGGAGTTTTACGTCCTATATTTCTATACTACCTCTTTACGTCTGCTGTAAAATCTGGTTTAGGATAGAGTAAAATAGATCTCTCCAGCATTACTGGTAATAACTGTATAGCAAAATCATTGCCTCCATTCTCTAATATTTCTTCAAACCATACTCTAGTAATGAATTGAATAATGATATCAACAATTCCCTTTGACCTTATCATTGAAAAAGAGGAGGAGCTTAGTTGTGGTATAACTAGTATAAATCAAAGTTTAAGCAGCTTTTACTCAGGGTTCAATTTAAATTTTGATTGCGTTTGGGCGTCAGGGGGAAAACTTTTTTGAAAACAAAGGACTTTAATCCTACTTTTTATGTAATTTGATAGATCATTTTTTCAAAATTATTACATTTCTGCCCTTCCCACTTGGAGCTGCCCCTGTAACAATCCCCGATTTGTTTTGGTTGACCTCTCAAGAGTTATGTTATGAAGTTACCTGAGTAAAACAGGAACAGTCTGTGAAGCTACTGTAACTCTGGGGTTATTCTTTAAATCATCTAATACACCATGCAGGGAGTCTAATCTGAAATACATAATATAGCTCTCATTGAGTGGTGTACTTTGAGAACCCTGACACTCTGTATAATCAGACATAATTATATGGTCCCACTGCATGTCAGAGTACACAAAATACACTGTATTTGTAAAGAGAAAAATAGAGAAACAACCTTGTTTACAGGGATAACAACTCAGGTGGAAGAGGATCATGTCTACCAGCTGGTCCTTGGCCAAAACTCTTGCTATTGATGAGGAAAGATGGCTTATTCAAGGTCACCAGACTTTCACACACCTACCAAGATTAGGACTCAACACGATTATTTATTGAAGAATTAATTATATCAATTAAACATTGCTGTTACAAATTTAATCTTACCTATTTATAGTATCACCGTGGCCGCCCTCAACTCTAGTAATGAAGGTAAGTAAAGGTCTATAGAGCGCCATCTGGTAGGCCTCTAGTGAACTAGCTGGAGTAACTGTAACTGTTGATAACTGACTAGTATTTTCTGGACTCTTTACTATGGTCTCTAGAGCTCCTGTCATACATGGTAGATCCAGTATAGTATGGAAAATCTACAATTACAGAAAAAATAGAAAAGATGATTGTGTTAAGGAAAAGATAACCCTATCTTTGGTTTATTTTAACACATTCATTACTAATTATATAAAAAAAAAAAACAAATATAGCTGTATCAACTGTGATAAGAAATAAAACTTGGTCTAACTTCTTGGCAGTGATTTTTCCTAGATTATAGATAACCCATTTCCAGATGGGTGAACTATTAAAGACAAGGAAAGACTTATTCCTGATTACAAATTAAGCATTCTTTTAAAATCTGCAGTTAGAAAATGACCCACAGGAATCATTTCAGGTGTAACATCCTTGTATGCTGTCATATAATCCTACCTCTAGGGATGTAGTGGGAGACATCAAAGCTGGTAAAATATCAATAAATTCTGCCAGGAATGTTCTGGGATGCCAGGCTAAAATCTGTAATAAATACAACAATAAAATTCCTTTCAGAACTTAAGAGCAATAAATAAATAAAAAAAAAAAAACATGCTAATTATGGCTATCTGAAATTTTACCTCATTAGAATGACCCTCAAGAAAACATCACTGCCAAATATTTTAGAGACTGGTAATTACTTCTACGAAACCTGGCAATTTGGTAGGTTGATAAAACTACCAAGATAATACAAAGAAGGAACATAATCAATTTCATAAGTTTAAGAATGCTTTTTTCTTGTCATTTATGCTCGAAAATATTGAGTAAGTGAAAGTGTAAAAGCTGACCAACAGGTAGAAGAGTGACATGTAAGAAATAACTTACCTTAAATATATTAGGGAAGTATGTTGATAAAATAGATGTTTTATAACATAACGTATCTAGATTATCCATAATAAAATTAACTATATCAAACATCAAGCCTTGATCTGTATAATGCTGGGATAATATCTCTGTAAACACATGTTGATACGTCTCTTGTGGATCATGGACCACTGCACTACCTGCAACAAAATATCATGCCACTATTTCACTTCATAACTTCATATCAAAATTCATGCAAATATTAGAAATTTGTATTTAAACATTTAAAATACACATCACCATCATATTCCAACAAATTTCAGATAATAGGTGAAAGCCAACCTCAGGATGACTTATATGGCCAGATATGAATAGCACATGAGCATCTAACAGACATCAATCCAACCAGCTACTGACTGAGCTCTCCCACCACTGCACTATTTAGAAACTAACCTACCAAGTTCACAACTGGGATACGGCCATGAATCTTACTCAATATGGCAAGTCCTATTTTTTGTTTTTCTATTAATATACTGTGTACAATATTATACGATATTGACTTGTATATACTTACATTGTATATACTTACTGTGATTGATAAAAAACTGTAATAACTGTATAATAACAGGGAAGGCTGTAACATTGTATATACTTACTGTGATTGATAAAGAACTGTAATATCTGTATAATAACAGGGAAGGCTGTAACATTGTATATACTTACTGTGATTGATAAAGAACTGTAATATCTGTATAATAACAGGGAAAGCTGTAACATTGTATATACTTACTGTGATTGATAAAGAACTGTAATATCTGTATAATAACAGGGAAAGCTGTAACATTGTATATACTTACTGTGATTGATAAAGAACTGTAATATCTGTATAATAACAGGGAAAGCTGTAACATTGTATATACTTACTGTGATTGATAAAGAACTGTAATATCTGTATAATAACAGGGAAGGCTGTAACATTGTATATACTTACTGTGATTGATAAAGAACTGTAATATCTGTATAATAACAGGGAAGGCTGTAACATCATGAGATAAACGTGTATATAATCGTTTTATTTCCTGATGTACTTTAGGTATATAGTTAGCTTCTATAGAACAGATTAAATCTAATATAGTCACTGTTTCATACAAACACTAGAAAATAAAAATGAAAAAAAATATAGTCAAGGGCAGATCTACAGACTATGTACAAGATCTACAAACATCTGACTTAAATTTGGGATGATGAGAGTAGATGCTATCCGTGTCTCTACTACACATAAAACCATAAGGTAACTTCTACACAATTCTTTTAGCTAATGTGCATTATCTGGCAATTTCCACGTTCATTTTTTAAAACCTAATTAACTTACTGCTATCTGTATTTCTGCATCTGTTGCCACCTTTGGTTCTGTCAAAAAAAAAAGCAACAGCGCCAAGTTAATTGGGTGTTATACATTATACGATTCTGAAACTTTATGACTAACAGAAGGGCTGTAGAGAGCAAAAGAGTCAACAGCAGTGTAAACATAATACAATGGTGGTCGTGGGTTGTTATCTTGGTTGTTTTCTTTATGTTTTTTCAAATGAAGATAGACCATGACAATTTGGCCAGGACACTAATTCACACAACAAAAAGTGGGGCACTGCTTCCAAATCAACAGTGAGCCATTGTCTCTCTGGGAAAAAATTATTTTTGGTCAGAAAGCCAAAACACCAACTTACTTCTTTCACATTGGTCAAGTAATCTAAAACAATATTCCACTGTTTTACTGGCCAGATTACCAAACACTTGTTTACATCTGTCAGTTGGTGACATGTCACTGCCATTGTTAGTGACAGTAGTGTCAGATGTCAGTTGTTTGTGACAATGATACAGCCATTTATATAACATGGAGAATGAGTGGATATTCAGAAACTGATCTTCAGTGTAATATTGGCCTGAAATTTATAATTCAAATAATCTTGTATACTGTATAATTGCAAATATAATATGCACCTCTCCTTACCCTCTAGTTAATCTGGAATAATTGCTATACTATTGATGACAAGATGTAAAGATATGCAAGCATGTATAATATGCACCTCTCCTTACCCTCCAGTTAATCTGGAATAATTGCTATACTATTGATGACAAGATGTAAAGATATGCAAGCATGTATAATATGCACCTCTCCTTACCCTCCAGTAAATCTGGAATAATTGCTATACTATTGATGACAAGATGTAAAGATATGCAAGCATGTATAATATGCACCTCTCCTTACCCTCCAGTTAATCTGGAATAATTGCTATACTATTGATGACAAGATGTAAAGATATGCAAGCATGTATAATATGCACCTCTCCTTACCCTCCAGTAAATCTGGAATAATTGCTATACTATTGATGACAAGATGTAAAGATATGCAAGCATGTATAATATGCACCTCTACTTACCCTCCAGTTAATCTGGAATAATTGCTGTACTATTGATGACAAGATGTAAAGATATGCAAGCATGTTTAATATGTACCTCTCCTTACCCTCCAGTTAATCTGGAATAATTGCTTTACTATTGATGACAAGATGTAAAGGCCAGGTTTAAGACATTTTCATTCAAATATTGAGGTCCAAATTAAATATTTCGTTTAAACGAATGCTTGTGCTAAGTTTATATAAACTCTAAAATACTTACCTATATTTAAAAAAGTAAAGAAGTTCTGACTTGGTGTACCATCTATTTCGTTGACTATATTAGTTTGATCTTTCCGGAATGGATTAATAGTATAGGGATTGGGTGCTTGTTGTATACTAGCATTTAATAACCATTGTGATATCTTAGAACTTGTAGTTTCTATATATTCTACAACAAATATTAAAACATTGTATGTACTCTAGCATTCAATAACCATTGTGAGTTTCTATATATTCTAAATAAACATTCAAACATTTAGTGTATCAACTGATCCAGGGCTTTTGATTTGGATGAATCTGCCAGTGGTGCCAGAGTATACTATCAGCAAGAGACATCTAGTATGTAAGAGCAATGAGCATGTGAAATCTTGATTTAATAAATTTAGAAATAGCATCTTGTTTTTTTTACAACATTTTATAATACTGCCTGTATGAACATGTAAAACATTGATAAAATGTAAATAATTTATATCCATATAGCTTCTTAATTCCTTTAGTCTCAAAAAGACCAAGATACAGATGCCATGGTAAATGATTATGTGACCTCCTTGCCTTTACTTCTCCCTAACTAACTCATACAAGGCAGTAAAAACATACCTGTATTCAGAGAACTAGTATGTAAAATAGACACAGCTACTAAAAATACAAAACTTTGTCGTTGACTTTCAAAATCTAAGTCTTGATTACCTAGCCATCTAAAATATGATGAATGAATAATAAATTGAAAGATATCTCAACACAGACAAACACAGGTATAGATAGGGTAGGAAAAATAGATAGTAATTTCTAACCAGCATGTCATATGTCATATAGTAAAGTGTTTGTAAACCGATAATAAATGCCTCAATGTGCAGATGTAGGTCTGCCATTGTGCTCTCACAAGTTTGTTTTGAACGTTTTCATAATGGGTAACCCATGTAACAGTTTTATATTTGTGATAAAAATGAATAAAGTTTACCTCATAGCTGAAGATAGAACTGATTTAATACAACCATATCTTTTACCCTTAAATATACATTCTCAAATTATTAAACATATTCACCATTGAACTAAGGCATTTTGTGTCACAAACTCACCTAACGACAAGCATGTCTGACAGTGACTTATCAAGATATTTAATAAAGGAGTCAAGGAAGAAAGAAATATTCTCTGAGCATCCGAGGAATCTGCACCTACAGATGGAGGGTTACTAATATTACAATATCAAACCTACCTGAGCTATATAAAGAGGAAAAAGATTTTTAGTAACGGAACTGCCTGATTCAGGTTGTAATAACTCAGACATATTCTCAGCGTCAAGGGGCATAACTTCTTTTACTATTCTCTGACAAATTAAACATTGTTTTAGATTTCTTTCATTCATCAACCCAACTGAGGTAATCAGATTCTCTAGTAGCTTCTTCGGTAAACTGAAATATTTATTAGTATAGTTTAGTATATTTGTTGTTCGACAAAATATTGTTTTGGATTTCGAGTTTCGTTTAACATGTTTTAGTTATTTACAATGTAAAAGTTAAAACTGGAGAGCATACATCAAACAAATTGTGGCCATGGATTCTTATCTAGGTTGGCATGTGAAAGTTTGTCATTCTCTCATTATTCCTGTAAAATAATTGTCAATTTTTCTTGAAGTCATGATGCATGTTAGTTTGAAAACTGTTCTTAAGACTGTAATGCTGCTGTTTCAGCTTTAAGACTTATCACAAAACAAAGCTGACATAGATCCTCCAAAAATGGCAGCAAAATTATCATTACCTCATAGGATGGTCTGAAACCTGTAGTATAAAATATAACTGTCGTAGTAAATTGGTACATTCTGTTAGTTTTTCTGGTTGATGAAATACATCTAAAATATTATTACATAACTTTTCTATATCTTCATCTGATGCTTTCCTTTAAGACAAAAAACAATTGATAATTTTTTATGTGTTACACAAGATCAAATCACAGAGAAGCTGTACTTGATAAGCCAAAATGTTCATCATATAAGCTTTCTTTCTTTTTTTTAATAGAAATACACAGCCCTTGATAAATAAGTAAAAATCTTAAAGATATTTAACATTATCTTTTTTGCATCTCATTTATTCCCAACAAAATAAAGGTACGATTACTGGCACAACCCATTCATTAATTCATCGATATGTGGTCTAATTAATTTTCGGATTATTAAATTTGATTATTACGGATTAAGACCACGCCCCTTTCTAACAGCAATCGAGATAGTTTACAATGAAAATGTCTGTATTTCAATATCATCCCTCATTTTTCAAGTTTGTCATAAAAAAGCATTAACCTTGCTTGTTGAAATAAATTGTCAACTGCTTGGATAGACATTTTACTGCTTTAACTTAGCATGATTTGCAAAGAAAGAAACTCAGTGAAGTCTACTTTCAGTTTGTTTTGTTTTGACTTCCGATCTAAACCGGAAATGTTTAACCGGAAAAGGCCTTGAGCATGCGTGGTTTTATGTTGCTACGGGTAACTATAGAAGCTTTCTTATCCATGGAGCTGAGAATTTTATTAATCTGAATTATTTACAAAATAAAGAAGAAGGCATTAATAATTAAGTAAGTGTTGTGTGAAACCTCGAAGTTAATGGACTTAAGAACACGATAGTAAGGACTGATTTATTTCAAAAGGCTTTGCGATTGTGTCAAACACTTGTAAATTAGATTGAATTTTCGCATGCACCCATTCGATGCATTGTTTTTGACTTTTGTTGGCAACATTATAAAACAGTGCATTGTTTGTTGTAAGACCTACCTGTAAATGCAAGAGTGATTTTGACAACAGTAGGTTCTGTTGGTATCATTACAGATAAATAAAAAACCAAAATGGAGATAGTTTACGTTTATACGAAGAAAAGAAGCGAGTTTGGTCGCCAATGTAATTTTTCTGATAGACCAGCCGAACTCCATGTTGATATTGTACCTGATGCTTCGTTATCACAAGATTTTGTTGAAAGAAATCCAGTAGACACAGCCATACAATGTGTTCAGGAAATGTCAGAACATGAGGTGAGATTCTTTTAACCCTGTCACTCCCATGTCATTCTAAATTACCAATTTACCCTACTGGTACCAAGAAAATGCTTGTTTGTTTATAAACTAATACTTTGTCTATTGTGTGGTTTTCATAAGTTTAATGAATGAGCTTAAGTAGGAATGAAATTGTACCAATTGGAAATCCAATTTTTTACACTTGTGACATCTAATACATTTTAAATAGAAGTTTGATCATACAGCAAGTTTTACAACTACTTGCCTTTAGTCATTAATCATAGCAGTTTTGATTAACGTGTTTAGATATCTGGCACTAGTACAACAACAATACTTACTGTGCATTATTACAAATACGACTAAGCGTATTACGAAAGTTAAAAAACACATTAAAAAATTGGATAACAAGCAATGATTGTTCTAAATAAGGATATAGATTTTCACATTATAATAATTGTTTGTTATGATAGGTGAACACAGAGAGATTTGAGACAAGTTCTAGAGGTATTAATCATACAGAAGGTGGCTGGCCTAAAGATGTTAATCCACAAGAAGTTGAACAAGTTACCAGATACAGAAAGAAAGTTGAGAAAGATGAAATGTACATTGCCACAATACAGCAACTGGGAAATGTAAGTGTTTTGATGTACTCTGTGTAGGAGAGAGGTCTGCATGTGAAATATCAAATGATCCATTGCCAAATATTTTACAAATTTGCTACAAATTTCTATTTTATCTTTTTCAATTAACCTGATCATGCTGAATGTGTAAGAATTAGAAATGATGATGTTTCAAATAAAGGGTAAGGGTACCTGTACTGATGGTTTATCAATCTATTCACACCACTAGCTCTATGATGTACTGTGATTCTCTATCTTTCTCTCTACAGATTATGGAACACTGTATTAAACAGAATAATGCTATTGATATTTATGAAGAATATTTTGAAGATGTAGATGTTGATCATATTGATGAAACTCCCTCAGCTAAAACTATTAATGTATTCAGGTAGGATAAAACATGGTTTTAACTTATTTCCTGCATTAAAAAGTTGACATCCATTTCCCAAAACTAGCTCCCTTGGTGTGGATCTTGTATTTGCATGGGTTAGCAGTTACAAAATAGACACAAGAACGATGTATACAAATAAACTACGGCCATTGTCTACACTGTGACACAAAATATCTGATCGAAGTGGACAATTGTTTTATTGAGTTTTACTCTTTCCTGTAAGGCTCATCTCTTGTTGACCTCCTCTTGTTGAAACTGAAGAGCCCAGTTTAGTTGGTAGTTCATTGAATTTCCAAAGATTTGGCCAAGTTCTTTTTCACTTATACCTCAACTTTGCTTATTGATTTTATTACAGAGATCCAAATGAAATCAAACGTACAGCAACACATATCTCCTGGTTTCCTGATGGTCCCAGAAAATTAGCAGTAGCTTATTGTAATCTTGAATTCCAAGGTTCATCACCTGATACCAGTATGGATTCTTATATTTGGGATGTCGGTAAGTTCTTTCTAATTAAAATTTAAACAGGACCCACATTTAGAGATAAATACATTGTGTAAAATGCTGAGTAGAATACTCATGACCAGTCCATTTAATTTTAAGTAGAAAAGGACACAATATAATTCTAGTCTTAGACTGGCTTTGTATTCTTCACATGTAGAGTGTTTAATTACAAATTATTCAACCCAAAGTAAAATGTATTAAGTGTTTATTGCTTGAGTCTTCAAATATCTTTGGTTGATTACAATATATCTTGTTCTTTGTTAATTAAACACCAATTGAGTTGTCTCCCTTGACACATTATTTTTAATCCACCTTTTTTATTTTCAGAAAACCCCAACAAACCAGAAATGACATTAAAGCCTGTATCACCGTTAGTTTGTTTAGAATATAATCCTAAAGATTCACATATATTATTAGGAGGTTGTTATAATGGTCAAATAGGTAAGATATTCTTATATATTTTACATAAGTGACAAGAGTTAGACACTTGCTTACTGACTGAGAGTTCCATGGCTTGATTCCCAGGGAGGTCAACCCAGTTTCTACCCATCATTGAATCATTGATGCTGTTCAGAAGACCACTGAAAAGTAGAAAAGTCAGACGGCGAGTTCACATTTCTTTTGGCAAAAGATTTTTGTGAATGATTATCAAAGAACGGGAAATTGGGGAAAAAGAATCAAAGTAATCTGCATCAGTCTGTTAGTTTACTGTGTTAGTTTTATTTCTAGCTTATTGGGACACCAGAAAAGGTTCACAACCTGTAGAAATGACACCTATTGAACAGAGTCATCGTGATCCAGCTTATAAAGCTATCTGGATTCAATCTAAAACTGGTTCAGAATGTTTCTCTACATCCACTGATGGTCAAGTTTTATGGTGGGACATCAGAAAATTGGGTGAACCTACAGAAAAATTATATCTGGACAAAAAACAAGATTTCAGTAAAGCTCAGGGTGCTTATAGTTTGGAGTATGAACCTACTATTGTAAGTTTGCTATTACCTATTTTTAATTTTTTTGGGACATTTTGATCAACAGTTAGGAATTGTGTGCTTTATTGCCTCAATTATGTTTGGGATGGCATCACATATAAGCTTAGCATATTTTAAGATGTGCTTTGTACCGTTGACTATTTTATCATTTTTTTACCTTTTTTATGCCAGGAGCATTTTCAGACCACAAAGTGTTTATGGGAGTTTGAAAGCAAAGAACCATGAATAACCATTGTTTTGATATAATTTGTACAAATATTGTGTTTAATTCAAAAAACAAAAAATACACTTCTACAATTTTGTTTACAGCCCACAAAGTTTATGGTTGGAACAGAACAAGGTACTGTGATGTCGTGTAACAGAAAAGCTAAAACTCCCCTAGAGAAGATAGTTGCTCTATATCCTGGTCATATTGGACCTGTATATAGTCTACAGAGAAATCCTTACTTCCCTAAAAACTTCTTATCTGTTGGTGATTGGACTGCTAGAGTAAGTTCAAGTATTCTTATATGTTAAGTCCTATAATGGCTTCTTTTATTGTTATCTTGTCCATGTACTAAAAGTTATATGTAGATATTTTGTTAATTTATGGAATCTAGGAATCGTAGAAATATACGAGATACAAGTGTCCTGGTGTTGCTTGAGATTTTATGATTAATTTATAAATTTTAAGAGAGAAATCAGACAAATTATTTATTTAACAATATTTAATGAAATCGTGTTGTTTTTAGATTTGGTCAGAAGATATCAGAGAATCCTCCATTATGTGGACAAAGTAAGTTTATTTTATACTATTTACTGCAACTAATTTCATATATGCAACAGTTTTAATTTTATATATCACTCAGATGATAATCAAAATAATTTCATTGGATCGAAAATTCTCTTGAGTAGTTCTACATTTGTAAACGAAAAGTTTGAGATCCAAAAGATTTGAATACTTAACTGTGTTTTCTGCACTCTAATCTAGGTACAAATCAACAAGTTTAAAACTAAACTGAAAGTAAATTTTAATTGATTATTTCAGACAATACTCATCTTATTTAACTGATGGATGTTGGAGTCCAACCAGACCTGCTGTATTCTTTATCACCAAGATGGACGGAACGTTAGATGTGTGGGATATACTATTTAAACAGAATGATCCAACACTTAGTTTACAGGTCGGTATTTCTATCTTTCTGCCTTTAAACAAGTCTTGTCATTTTGGAAAATTTTATAAGAAATTTGACTAAAAATTGATCGCAATTTGATTTTGCAGTCAGTCAGCTGGGTAAATGAATGTAAGGCTTAACTAGCTGTGATCTTGCATTAAGCTAGTCTGTTGGATTTAATTTTTAATGATGTGAGATTTTTCTGTAGTCGGTAGAATGATTTCAGATGCATCTTCTATTGTTAACAAATCTAAGTTTAATGTGATGCGCAACTATAAAAATCTTAAAACAATTTTTGAATGTCTTGCATGGTCTGTTGTAGGTCTGTGATGGTCCATTACACAGTTTAAGAGTACAAGAGCAAGCTAAATTAGTGGCATGTGGATCACAGGATGGTACCACTACTTTATTAGAATTATCAGAAGGCTTATACCAGTTACAGAGAAATGAGAAGAACCTGGTTACAGCAGTAAGTATTGACCTTTTAATCTTGGAAGGAGGGGGGAGGTGGGGGGGGCAATTTTGTGTTTCAGAGATTAGTAAAATGGATCGATACAACCAGTAAAGCAATTAATTTTGATCATCAGAATTCAATTTTAACAATATTATACTTTTCATCGTAGATGTTAGAAAGAGAGACGAGAAGAGAAAAGATTTTGGAGGGTCGACATAGAGAAATGAAACTAAAGGAAAGAACAAAGAGTTCACAAGAGGGCAAAGAAAAGGTAATAGTGTAATTGGTCACTAGTTGTGGTTTAAAATTGTGAAAATATCTACTGACACCAGCTCTGGAATCTTCCCTGAATCATATTTGAAGCTATGTTTAGTGAGTTACGTCTGTAACTCTGAATTGTATTCACTAAATGTGTCCAAGAAACAAGCAGTTTGGCGCAATGGCAGTTGGAATACAAAGCTATCATGTTAAGATAACTAATTGGCTCAATAGTGGCTTCCATGTTTTGAAACTATATCAAACTAGTACAGTAAATGGTAGTTTTCTGTTGTCGAAGTTCACATGTCCCACTATAAATTTTCATTCTCTTTAAACTCTTGCCCTAACCTAACCCACAATATTGTTTAATTAACAGCAAGAGGAAGAAGCCCAGGATGATCTACAAGAAACTGAAGAAGATCTAATAGCCAAGGCTAAGAAAGAATTTGATGATATTATTGCTACAGAAAAGAAGAAATCACAAGCTAATTCTGATCTTCAACAAGAAAAGATGGACCAGGGCAAGGTAGTTATTGGATTTCATTTGATTTTGACTCTTCATGAGCATAAAACAGTCTCTTAAATCAGATTTAAAAGCAAAAGTAGCTCTCATAGAAGAGCTGTCAGTCGGGTTAGAGGATCTGTCTAATATCCCCAAATTTCAAAAGTTTTCAAATTTACCCTTTCCTTTTAGCCCTGCTATTAGTTGTTGGTCCATGTGTCAATTTTGAAAAAACAAACTTGAGGTGTCTAAAACCAATGGTGTATCTCTTCTTATGATGTAGTCATAAGCCTAAGGGGACATATAAAAGTAGGATGTCAAAATTTGTTTAAAACTCCATTTCATTGCATGTATTCCTCTCTCTCCAGAATTCACCAATTCAAGAAGAGAAGACAAATGGTCACCCTGTAAGTTTTGCTGTAAATATTCTCATCTGATTGGTTGATAATCAATCAAAATAATTAATTTTTGATGATTTTTATTATAAAACTGAAATTTATTATTTATTCATTTACACTTTCACAAAGTCAGCAATGGATCCATTCTTTTATCTGTTAATTTCATATCATTGTATCCTTTAATTGATTAAAATCTACTGTCATGTTGAGATTTCCACTTAAATAGATGAATTTTTTCCATTTTCAGGAATCTGATAATAAAGCAGCATAAAGTTACCATGGAAACCATCGTCATCTATCATCTCCAGATATCATCTTTCTCATTGGAACAATATACTGTGATAACTACCGCTGTTTTATGGAATTTATATTACCTTTTTATTGAACGCCATATTTAATCTGTATCTAATGAAATCTGATTAAAATACAGCTCTAGATAGATATATATTTATAAACAATATCAGCTACATTGATTCTCAGAAATATTCCAGTATCTTCATCGTTGGGCTGTTTTAGTTTGCTAATATAAAGCAAAATGAGGTCATGTATTTTAAACCTGGTCTTTTTTCCTTCATGAATCTTGTCAACCAGCTGGGTAAGAATATTCTGAGAAAGAAAGTGTCAATGACTAGCTGGTAAAGGGATCCTCAAATACCCATATAGTAAATTGAATATAGAATGAAGTTACCCATAGTAGGAAAGAAAACAAAGTATATTATCTAGAGCTGTATTTCGATGAGGTTGAATTTAAGATATCTTTGATTAATCTGTTTTATCACTGCTTTACCTATCAGGGCTGTTGGTCCGAAATATTTGTCATTCAAGTTTGGTGCATTCTTCAAATTTTGTGATGCTCCAATTTGGCATGTCTAATATGGATAGGTCGACAATGCATCGAAAACATCAAATTAATAACTTTGAGTTCTATTCAGACATGACTGGCAAATACAGCTAAATCAACAGCCCTGATTCTGGTCTATTGATACTGAAGAATTGATTGGTAAAACAAAGGGAAATAACTGTGATCAAATTGTTATTATTTATTTTAAAGTTTGTTAAAGCATGAACAGTTTCCCTCTAAATATAATATTCTTCAAAATAAAACTTGAATTCAAAAATAATTTTTCATCTTTTTTTTTCTTGATTTAAACTGCTAAATATTGCTATGAAATAATCCAGAAATAGAGTATAAGCCAACCATGGACTCTGGGAGCATCTGTCTGGGTTGAGAGCTGTTGAAGCATCATAGGTTTTTAGCTCAAAATTCAAGCAAATGCCCCATCTGTACCCCCACAGGCACCACCACTGATACATACGACCTCCTTATCAAGATGCGGTCGTACATACGACCTCCTTATCAAGATGCGGTCATACATACGACCTCCTTATCAAGATGCGGTCATACATACGACCTCCTTATCAAGATGCGGTCATACATACGACCTCCTTATCAAGATGTAGTCATACATACGGTCTCCTCATCAAGATGTAGTCATACATGCAACATCGTTTTTGGAGATTGCAGAGAACTAATTCTAACATATTTGTTTACCTCTTTTTGTCCGGAAAACATTTTTGTTTTGCACACGAAGTCGTAGATGATGCAGCTACCCCATACAAATTGATTTCGCATTGTCAGAAAGACAGATCCAAATGATTGCTGAAATGATTACCTTGAATTTTGGTCAATATTCCAAAATTAACAATATATCTCGTGCGTAGAAGAAAAGAACTTCTTTGCATTTCGAAATTCACAAATCATATGAATATTAACCCATTTGACGTGGTGTCTATTATGACGTCATAATGACCTTTTGAGAACAGAAGATAACGGAATTTTCCTTAAAGGGATTGTAAAGAGGTTTTCTTAAAATTTTTTTATGTATATCCGGACACTGATAGCATCAATTTGCACCATTTCAATTTTCAGTTAGACGTCTGTGGTTCCTTCAATTTGCCTAAACAAAGTCTTCTTTCAGTTGTTTTTACATTTTTTTCCCTACATTTTTCAAGAAAATACCTAGCTTGAACAATGTCACATTCGCGAACTAGTTCAAGTGTTTTTGCAATGCCCCTCTGGCCCCTTTGGCTCCGCCACTGCCGACAGTTGTAACCCATGTAGGCCTATGTCAGCTTTAAATATAATCATTAAGCATCAACAAGGCCAGTGTCTTGTAATCCAGAAGACAACAAAATTAGATGGTGCTATTGATTTCTTAATTTCGTTTGTGACGTCATAATCAAAAATTGTATTTTCATATTGACCAATGAAACGCTTTAGAATAGTTCTTAATAAATGTTTTTCAGATAAGTTAGATAAATTTAGATTAATTTATTTAATTAATAATATATTCGAAATTTGTGTTTAGTTGCAGTGACGATGTAGGTCGGTAATTTTTTTTCAGGCAATCAATTTCCCCCCTCTACGCCTGGAGCTACGGGCCTGACCAGTGCTTCGGTTACTTTACTAGCCTACTTGGGAGAAATCATGTGGACTCGGCTATGGCTCAATAAGGATTTCTATATTGAAATACCTTAGCTCAATGATTTCGTGTAGAGTATAATAAGCTATATTAAAAATTATTCTAGTAAGATACTATTTCCAGTAAGGTAGAAAATATTTATTCAGCGTCTTGTCAAAATAAATCATCTTTTATTCAATAACTTATCGATATCCTATTGTCGGTGCCTTTCATCTTCGTTTACCTGTCGGCAGTGTTTTTACCGTTATATAGTCACGATTGTCTTGTATTTCTTATACTTTTAAGCACGATTTACGACTTGATAATCTTATCTTAAACTTGTCACAACTCAACACAGGCATTCGTTACGATATTTACTATCCAATCAGAACGTAATACTTTCTTAACGAAAGAAATTATGAAACGAATGCCTGTGATTTTATAAATATCTCACCTGAAGGCGGAGGGATACAAAAGCGTCAAAAGTAGTTCCGTATCACCCTCAGTAACGACAGGTAATGGTTGAAACTGTCAGAACGGCTCAAAATATAATTATCGTACTCATCTAGTTAAAAAGGATTATTGAAAGCGATAATTTTGACGGGCACCTGTGTCACACCTGTTTGATAATTAACTCAGGTGAAATGGGTTAAAGAGTTGTGAATTAAGGAAATATAACGGGACGATACCGTATACGGTACCGTTATAAACTATATAGTGGCCAGTATTAACTGTCATCATGAATACCAAAGGCGGTGGTGAACAAACTTTAACGGTAATTTTTTTTTCTTACATTTTGATATCCTAATATCTTTAGCATTACATAAACTTAGATTTATTTAAGATATTTGTCTGTTGATACTGTTTTTAATTTTTATTCAGTGAAGAAATTGTTAAATTAAGGAGATAGAGGGGAGAGGGAATAATTCTAAAAGTTAATTCTAAGAATTTTAATATGCTAAAATTTTATGTTTACTGAGTGTCAAAGAGATATTGTGGAAGAGCTGAAGAGTTTTTATTTGATATATTTTAATTATCTTTTCAAGGTTTAAAATACAATACATTATTATGTCCTGTAGAAAGAAATGAGGGGTTCCAAAAGCATGAGAATGTCCTGCCACATGAGCGACACCTACTTCAATTTATTATCTTAACTTGTTTTAAACAATTAAAAATCAAGCCAAGGATATTTTTAATAAAATTAGATGTGAAAAAAACTTTTCCAATTTTTAAAAATTTTCCAAATTTGAGCATTTTTCAAAGCTAATTTGAATAACTGTGCTGAAAGTTTAAGAATGCTTTTGCTTTGGTAAAAATACGAAATAGAGCTGCTCAATCTGTCTGTGGGTTAAATTGGTTTTCCTTTGGACCACAATATGTCACTCTGCAATTGGGTTTGTCAATGTGACATTTCTTATAGGTAGTCAACAACACTCATAATGATTGATATCTGTTATTTTAAATAAACTGATAGTAAGTTGAATACCAGTAATATAATTTCTATTTATTTACCAAGACAGATTATCTGCGGACAGATTAACATTCCCTTGTTGTTAATTTATAACACTTAATCCTGTCTCTCGCTTGTCATATTATCTTGTAGTCTAATAGGGGACGTAAGTACCATAAGTAACAAATATATAAAAATTGTAATAGTTATTTTCACTGTTTAGTCACGTACATCATCATTATAGCATCATTAAACTAATAACTTAGCTATTTTTTTTTTATGAAATCATATCATTTAAATTATATCACAAATTCCCAAAAAGGTGAAACCAATTAAAACTATATTATTGTCCTGTTATTAGACGTTTCCGCTTACTGCCTTCTATTATATTTAAGTTATATTTCATCATTTAGAAGTAGCATCATTGCATCAATATACTATAATATTATAATTCAAATATTATTTGGAAGTAGCAATATATCAAAATTAACATAACTATTTTAATAGAATCATATTATTTAAGTTATATTTTATCATTAGAAGTATTCATTGCAACCATATATCAAAATTTTACAGATTTAATTAATGAATTATATTTAATGTTAAGTCAAGATTCCCATCAGTTCAAAATTAAACTAATATTATGAGATTATTTAAGCTATATTTTATCATTAAGAAGTAGCTTCATGCTAGTTTTTGGGTTTGTTTGGGGTTTGGATTGCTAGGACTTGGTTTATTTATTCATTGCAACAATATCAAAATTATAAGAATTATCTTTATAATATTCAATATTTAGTACAGTACCTCAAAATTGAAACATTATTTATCTCAAATATATTCCAACATCATTTATAAATACAGTTCCAACTCTATATTGCAATTGTAATACATTGTAATAACCTTCATAAATCATATTCAATAATCAGTCTAGTGCCCCATCATTAAAACATTAAAAGGTGAAATATGACTCTAATATATTGTAACATCATTATAAGTACTCTTATTACAACACTGTATAAAAACTATACAAATTTAATGATAAATTATATTCAATAACAGTGGTCAAGTACACCATCATCTCATCATTGAGATTGAATCATTAAAACATAAAATGACTAAAATATATCATAAGTACCATTATTACAACAATATATTGGAGTTAAATAATGTTTTAATGTTTCTATTTTGAAGTACTTCACTATATATTGTAAGTACCATTATGCAACCATATACAATATTTTGGTAAGTACCATAATTGCAGCAGTGAAACATTATATAACTGACTAGTAATATCAGTGAGAAGTACCATCATACTGCAATAATATAGTAAAATTGTCATAATTCTTTTTGATTAAATCATATTCATTGTTAAAAATCAGTTTATACTGAGTGTTTTATATTAGTTTAAGTTTACAATGCTAGAGTACTTAAAAAAGAAAAATTAAATATGATTTAGAAAGACTTATTATAATTATTATACTTATAAATGATAAAGTAATAATGACCGTTATTAAAGTAATATGATGTTATATAAAACACAGTGTCATAATATATGGTTAAGTTTGAAATAGTACATACTTGTGTAACTATTCAAATCTTCAATTATCATAATTTTAATTTGAAGAGTTTTTGATAAGTGATCTATTGCAACTTAGGTGGATGTCATGGAGATTACTGGCATATTATATTGCGATTATGAGCTCTTGTCTTCATAATATAGTAAAGTAGAATAGAATATTCCCTTCACTGATTTCTCAATCCTGTTCAGTGAGTTCAGTTGCAATGAAGAGGAATTAATTCTTAAAAGAAGCTATTAATATTTGAGAAATGTTTTATTGCCCAAAGAAATTCTAAGATTATCATTAGTCTTTCACAGCTGATATTTTTATTCCTGAAATTACTGAAAATTACTGAAAGAATGAAATTAAAATATAATAGATTTAATCCTGTGATATTTCTATGAATGGGTAGAGGGTACGATGTGGCGGAGCCAAAGTGGTTGCAGAGAGATCACCACCCATCCCCCCCCACCCGCCTCGCAGCCCCGAAAGCAAATTTTTCGGGCAAAAATCCCATACCTAGGTTAGAAATTCCGGCAATCTCAGATATTTCACCCCTCTCGGACGTAAACCTGGCTCTGCCACTGCCTGCCACGCCAGATCAGACTGATTTATTTTGGTGGTGAGGGAGGGAGGGAGTGAGGAAACAGGAATCATGGCAACCCGTAGAAATGCAATTGACTTAATAACTTTGTTAGATATTTCTATATATATCTATATTAGAAAAAAACCTGGACTTTTTTATCTTGAGTATATCAAATTCTGTTTAATCTGGAGATCAAAAACTAATAAAAGTAATGGATACAGTTGGTTGTTTGATATATGATAAGAATAAGTCTATTGACAATTGAGTAAGCCACAAAAAGAAATCAGACATGAAAAAAAGAATCAGACATTAAAAGCATAAGATTAGATATTGAAATATATTAAACTTTATCTAAGATTTAAGCTAACAAACATTTTTTTGTTATTTCTTTTAAGATTAAGTAGGCTTTAAGAGTTTGAGGTTATGAATCTGTTAATATTTATTAGAACAGAACGTAGATTAAAGATGAAAGGATAAAGTCTGTTGAATAGCTATCTATCTCATAATGCTCTAAAATCTTGAGACCTGGGCCTGTGTCAGTAATATCTTAATGTGTGGATAGATGAGGTACTATGTATTATTGTGTTGGGTGGAGAGATTATGGATAGAGTAGAATAGATAAGAAGAGAATATCCAAAACAATGCAGACATGATCGGCCTTATTTTGTATGGACTATCCAGCTTCTTTGAAGCTCATTTTTTACCACCTTTAGACCAAGTTTGAAGACCAAAGTGTGACAATTGTACTGAATCCAAAGACCCTTGAATTTCCCACCTTCAAGTGTACCCCCAGAATTCTATCAATCTAATGTCTATAAATCAATAAACATTTCAGGTGGCTCTAAGAATACGGCCATTAAATGAAGATGAGATTCTACAAGGTGCCAGTCCCATTGCTTATAAAGTTGAAGATAATGTAAGTAGGCACAATTATTGACAGTTTTTGAGGAACCAATCGATTCTTCTGTCCATCTGACAGCTGATGAGTCGATACGACCATTTTTTTTTTTTTCTTTTTTCATTAAATTCTAGATGAACTAAATTTAACAGCCCTTAGCAATCTATCGTTCTTACTTCAAGACCAAGACCCATGCTTTTTATTGGAATTCTATTATTATATTACCATTACACCAATTGCTTGTAAACTTTCTAGAAGGCACAATTGTGTATAGATTTTAAGGAAACTTGATGAAATCTAAAGATGAATCCTATAAAAAATGGAAGAAGTTTTAAAAGAAATGTTTTACTGTAAGTTTGATAATGTAAAACCTTAACACAGGTGCTTGGTTTTATTGATATGTCTAAACAGGCTTAAACTACCCACTTTTAACAACTTTGGATAAATAAGCATGAACTTACAAAAGTTTGTACCCAAATCTTAAAATAGAGATACAAGTCAATTCTCCATTTTTGGTCGGCCTTGCGGCTAGTTTGGTTGCCATTCTGTGTTAACTATCATTACCAAATAGATAAGAAAAGAACAATTTCTGATTATAGGAAAGTAACAATAGATAAAGAGAATAATTTCCGGGCTTTGTTTTGATGCCATTAACTGGTCTATATCATTGTTAGAATATGGTCTCTATCTGTTGACTTTGGTATCCAACTCTCAATGGTAGCTATTAACTGTCGGAAATATAAATGGATCTTTCAAGTTGATTGTTTGTTACCAGAACTATAATAATTGATGTCCGAAATCGACTGACTCTTTATTTTTATACGCCTACATAATTATATTCTTGTGGATATGAATTATTGTCACCTCTTTACTGTCATCTATTTCTACACGTTGCCTAATTAAAGTTTTAAAATTTGCCTTTGAAGCATCCTTGAACTGTAATTCACAAGACCTCCATTGTTTGCAATCAGTATTTTGTATTAGTATTGACACAACTTGGCATATAAAAACTGAAAAAGGGTGTCAAAACGTCACGAAAATCCGTAGATTTGTGTTCAACAGAAGAATGGATTATGTTACCCATTCTATAACTTTGATGCCATGAAGTTAGCCCACACTGTATTCCTTAACAGGACAGACACAATTTAGATGGTTGATTTGAGTCTTGAATATATGTAAATAATCTTCTATTAGAAATGTACAAAAATCATATAATTCCGTCAAAAGTACCTTCATAGTAGGAATTTTACTCACTAGTTCAATATATTTTCTATATATGGCAGTGTATCAAGAAGAGTCTTTTTAACTTTCAAATGCAGATAATTTTCCACACACATGGATTTGTAGGCTTAAATTTCGACAGTGAGCTGTGAACACTATTATTGATTAGATTAGCTAAAAAATTCTGAAAATAGGTATGATAGGTACAAAATTGTGCATCTGTCCCTTTAATATACAGACAAGTTTCTAATCTAATAAATTAACCTTCAGATTTTACTTCGACTTCAAATATTACTTATCGATTCAATGATGTTTTGTCACACGTTGGCCATTTTGTTTCTTTAACGTATATTGGAAAAACTTGTAAAGTGGTTTATTTAAAATACCTTTCATTATAGTGGAATTGTATAAGTGGCTATTTAATAACATTTTATACCATAATAGTCCTTTAAAACTCAGTCAACCTTGTTGATGGAATTGATTTTTCCAGGTAAAACAGTGGTGGTCTAGGTCCTAAAAGACCAATGTGATAAGCTTATTGATTTCCCATGACGCCTTCCTCGATCAAGAATAAAAAATAACGACTAAATTCAATCAAAGAATGATTAGATTTATTATGGGCGTGTATTTGTCTTTCTCTCGCTAATGAAATATATTTTAAGAGCAATTGTATTGATAGAAACCTACAAATACTGATAAATCACTCTGTTACATGTTTTAATATAGCTTTAAACCATTCTGATTATTAATATTCTAATCCATTAAAGCAATGAAGTTATCTAATTATTTGCTTTATTAGCTGATTAAACATAATTCAAACCGCCCTTATCACTTTTCAGAATGGAAATATAACTTCTGTATAGCATACGATTTATTGACCAAATTATTGAACCCTTAAAATTGATATGATACACCTCTATCTGCCTGAGATTGACAAGGCTTTTTTCAGACGGTGTGTCAATGTTAAGAAAAAAATTTCAAAAATTCTATATTTATTTGATGCAATATGATACAGAATTGGTAAAAACTATACATGACAATATTAAGTAGATGGGATTTGACTATTGGTCTTCACTCAGGAATGTTCGGTAGGTTTAAACTATTGTGTCTTGCCATGACCTGCTAGCCACTAGCGAATGAGAATTAAGCCCCAGCAGCTCAAAATAACTGAAAATGAGTTCTCTAGGCCTTTAATTCTTCAAATTTGCACAGTTCAAAAACTTAGCCCCAGCACCAATTCATTCCTGGCAACGGGGCTGTATGGGTTCCGATCTCGACTGTCTTGTGAAAGTCCGATGACCTCGAAAAAGTCATCTTCACTCATAATTCCAGTCGACCCAGCTGTAAATGGGTACGGATAATCCGGGAAAGAACAATGCCAAGAGGTTTGGACAAATACCAGCTAGAAAGGATCCTTAACTGTGAACCTATGTTATTATTCTTAAAAAACAAAATTACTTTCTTTCCTTTCTTTCTCAGGCCCAAGTTATTTGTGTACAAAATACGGGTAATGGAAGAGTATATTATATAATATGATTATAATATTAACATGTACTTGATGATCACAAGAGCTCCTTAATAACTATGTAATTTTATACCTCTATAATTTTAATATGTATAATACTTGAATTTCAAGGACTTGGGTTATAATATTAAATAATCTGTATGGTTGGTTTTGTTGAAGATTGTTGGAAGTTATCCAATTAATGATATTGATATGATATAAACAATAGTTAGTTATATTCTGTAAAGATTAGATTAACAATTCCAGTTTAAGATAGCTATCTCAGGTAGATTGACCGTGGGTTTAATTCTGGACATACATGGATTTGAAGGCTCAAATTTCGACATTGAGCTGTAAATACTATTACTGATTAGCTTTGCTGGAAAATTCTTGCTTCTGAAACTAAGGCACGATTGGTGAAACAAATGGCGAATCTGTCCCTTTAAATAGATCTGCAGCAGCTGAAAGAGCCTCCCAAGCCATGTTGAAAATGTGGGCATGTGTTAACTGACTACACTTTCAGATAATTGGTTGCTGTCAAACAATCCTACTGCGTTCCATTAAAGGATCTTTCAGAGTCCCCTGAGTTTTATAAATTGTAATCTATTATTCCTACTGGAATTGCTTTTTTCAGCTGATTTTCATTAAAATATCTCATTTATTAAGAACAGTATTTAACTGGATTCAGTGGCATTTTAAATATTGGATACCAAATTAAGTTGGTATGATGCCAGCAGGTTGACCTACTGGATTGGCCTACTTTCAATTTGTTACCTTTCTATTTTCTTTGTGTAGCTAATTTTAGTTTTGAATGTATTAAACAGTATGTGACCAGATGAAATATATATCTATTACCTATTATATTATTATTATATATTAGGTTAATGAAGGTAGTTTAATGACAAGAGTGACCAGTAAGATAGGTAATAGCTCAGAATGACCTACTTTCAATACATTGATTTTAATCAGTGTCCATACAAACTCGTCTTTTTATTTGGCTAATTTCAGTTACACAATATCTGATTCATTAAGAACAGTATTTTAAATAGATTGTAAAAAGATTTTCTAAATTTTTTGATATGTATTGGGGACACTGATAACATCAATTTGTCTGACATCGCTAATCGCAAATATGCTTGTATTACCTAAGGCCCCGCAATTAGTGACATCATCAGATACTTGGTTTTAGTGGAATTGATAATTGGAATAGTCTATATTGATGCTCTCAGTATCCCCGATACTAAAAAATTTAGAAAACCTCTTTAACAATCCCTTTTAGGTATATATTATAAGAATTAGGTTAATTAAGGTCTCTAGTAAGATAAGTAATGGTGTGGAATGACCTACTTTCAATTCATTACCTTTAATAATTTTGATTTGTATAAAATCAAGCCTAGATAGACTTCTTTGTCTGGCTAATTTCAGTATTAAGTATAATAAATATAATTGCACAATGTCAATCTAATGAGATTGAGATCATTAGCACCATGAGCACACTTTTATGTCGAGTTCAGAGCTATATAAATATACACATTATTATTATTATTGTTACCTTATAAAAACTAATATTAGTCAATTTCAATAAAGAAAAAACATTTTCCAGCGAGTTATTTTGTTTAGAATGTTTTCTAGAAGATACAGATTCAGGAAAATATATTCTATCTATCTATCTTATATATTCTAACTGTCAAAGGTGCAAAATGTTTTCAAGAGGATACAGATTGTTGGCACAATATATTTTATCAACCTACATCAAAGGTGCAAAATGTGGTCATGTTGAATTATTACCATCAGGCCCGTAGCTGAGAGGAATGCCTCCTAAGAAATTTTTGCTCCCCCCTTGAAAATTTGGATGACTTAAATGTCTTATGGAGTCGCATAGTTGAGGCCCTCCTGCGACCCTGGGCTACAGGCTTTATAAGATTATATGCAATATGTCTATGCACATATATTTTGGAGTTGAATCATGCCTAATATACATTTTCCCTTTCAATCTCCCAGAATCACGAAGTAAGTTTATTACAAAAGGTCTTTTGATTGTTTCCTGGTGGCCATTTTTTGTGTAGGTAGCTAAGTTAATTATTGATAAAGGAAAACTTGACATATTAAGCTGGAGGGGATAGGACTATGTTGTCAGAGTTGATGTTAACAGAAAGGAAATGATAATAATGATGTGGGGGGGGCAGACATGTTTAATGTGTTATTTTGTATTTTTCAATCCTGATTTAGAAAGCTATTATATTTAATTCTTTGACATACTTACACAAAAGATAGTTTTAAAGGTATACTACCT